ACGTTAGAACGTCATCAGATATGAGTCACGTGTAATAACCCGGCTTAATCAACACAAGCCAAATGTTCATTTATCCAGCACCCAAACCCCATGTTTATGAATGAAAAAAGTTTTGCACACATCCCGTCCTCAGACTAAGTTCATTCCATCCAGCGGCCAACCTCAAAGACACATTCATCAATTTGGTTCATGCTGCTCATTCAAAATAGGTAATTTCTTAAATCTAAATGAATATTATTATATTTTAGCATATTGTGAATATTTAGGACTCTTCTTCCTCTCATGACTTACCCTTTTTAAAGGGTTTCTTGAATCGTAACTCTGTAAATGCTTCACCCACGTACTGCAAATACAAATAATTGCCAACAGAAATTAAACACTTAACCTAACCTAACCTCTTCATAACTATACACGAAATTATAACATAGAACAATGATTTATCTGAAAAATTACAAAATGTGGATACACGATACGATTACATTTATGAATGCGTCTTTGAAGACGGCCTCATCCTGGACTGGATGAGTCCAGGATGAGTAAGACGAGGGTGGAGGATGAGGCTTTTACTGTTTATCTACCTTATTTTGTTCCATATTCATCTTATTTTCTATCTGTAACTTATTTCATCTCGCTCTTTTGTACTATCTCTCTCTCTCTCTCTCTCTCTCTCTCTCTCTCTCTCTCTCTCTCTCTCTCTCTCTCTCTCTCTCTCTCTCTCTCTCTCTCTCTCTCTCTCTCTCCTCTCATGAGTTACAGCCACCAACACACACATACTCGAAGTACAACCTATGACAGTGTCGCCAAACATCATGGACGACTCGCTACCGAGCTGCTAGTATCGCATACACATCCTCCACACGTAAAGAAGAATTTCCAACATTATCCGACCATTTGCATTCCGGCGAGCGGTGTGAGGCCCACACAGAAGGCCAGGATGGTGGCCAGGTAGGTTAGGTTGTCTGGCAGGAAGGCTGAGAGGAATGCAAGTACACGAGAAAGCAGGCAGACAGGTAAACATGTAGGCAGAATTACTTTTGACATTTCCTCTACTAAAAATGACACGTTAAATATACTATAAAGGGGAAATTGTCATTCCTTTCGAAAATAAAATGTTCACAATAAATACTTTACAGTCATTGTTATTTTTTTTTCAAAGTGTCTTGAAAATCTCAACATGTGTAATATTGTGCATGCTGTAATTAATTATGAATTTAAGTTGGTTTACATATGATGAGGTATATGTTGGGTTAGGTAAGATGAGGTACAGTTATGTATGAGTAAGATGCGGTATGGGTAAGGAATTGGATTACGTAGATGAAGCGAGATTTGATAGAGGGATATAATAGCCAAGAATTAATACAAAAGACTCAGGATGTATGGAAAACTGGAATAATACAATACTCTTATTCTCAAATAATTACACCTCAATACGCAGACTTAATCTCATAATAATTACATCAAATCACTACACATCTGCAACACAACAGGTGACTGGAATATGAATGTAGCTAAGTAAAACAGAAACGTATGTGCTCCCTTAATAAAACCACATATGTTTAGCTCAGTGCTCCTTTGTTTCGTTCAGTACTCATTTGCCTCGTTCCCTGCAGTAACATTGTAATAGAGCCTTTGATGGAGGAGATATTAAGCCCCAATCATACGTGGATCTCAATAATGGTTGCATTTAATACCGGTTTACAAGACATAGAAAGGGGGGATATTATATAACTTTAAACTGTATAATATTCCTATGTTTCAACTACGAGATAAACTGTCCTATTAATTTTGATTTAACTCTACATATAGTCATTACGAAAACTTATGCAATAATTCGATGAATTGTTTAAGAATCAGTCAGAATCATCTGTCAATTATCCATTGAATAATTCTCTCAATTATTTCAGGATTTAATCAATGAACCAATAAATCAACTCGTGTCCATTTTACCAAAAGTCTGAACGCAAGAAAAAAACAGATGTAAATGTCGTTTGCAAGAAAAAAACAGATGTAAATATCGTTTGCAAGAAAAAAACAGATGTAAATGTCGTTTGCAAGAAAAAAACAGATGTAAATGTCGTTTGCAAGGAAAAAACAGATGTAAATGTCGTTTGCAAGAAAAAAACAGATGTAAATGTCGTTTGCAAGAAAAAAAACAGATGTAAATGTCGTTTGCAAGGAAAAAACAGATGTAAATGTCGTTTGCAAGAAAAAAACAGATGTAAATGTCGTTTGCAAGATAAAAAACAGATGTAAATGTCGTTTGCAAGAAAAAAACAGATGTAAATGTCGTTTGCAAGAAAAAAAAGATGTAAATGTAATTTGCAAGAGAAAAAAACAGGTGTAAATGTCGTTTCAGCTAATTTTGCAAATGCATGTGTCAATAGGTCGAGAAGTGGCACTTGGCTGATATTAGCATTGGCAAACAGATATCTTCCCCCTTCCTCTTATAAGGAAGAGGGAAGATATTTTCTTATAAGGCATCCAGCGGTTAGATTTCGGAAATTTGAATCACAAGTATTTCTCCAACTCGTTTTCCTCTCCCTCCGTCATATTTCCCTCTCCCTTCCTCGCTCTTCCTACCTCCTTCTCTTTCCTCTTCCACTAAAGAAAGACTTCACGGAAAAAGTTCACAAGCATTGAGCTAAACTACGGGAAATGACGTGAATAAATTAGCCAATGATGTACTGATTGAATGCATGTCTAAACCTAAGACAATGATTATTTCGAGAGTGAGAACGAGGACATCCTATAGCCTCCTCTGAGATTTCACTTGGATAATCCAATATAGTTTTGGATAATGTACTATGTAATGAATATGAAGTGTCTTAAGTATATTGCAAAGATGGATAACTAAGGTATGGGGTTTCAATCAGAAAAACTCATTTTTTCCTGTGGGATAGAGAGACCTCAGTATACTCCTCCGGTAGTTCCAGCTAGGAGACCAGACCTCCGTATGTGATAGCCATAACGAGAACCATACTGTACTCTTAATATCGGCTGATAGCAACCTCACTTGTAAACAGAAACATTGCTATAAAGACGACCAGCAAGAAGAGACATGATTGATGTTTACAAAAAAAGATGAAGAGAATTATCAAGAGAATATGGATGAAAGGGTTAATCAAGGAGTAAATAAATGAAGAGATTTATCATGGAAGATTTAAATATATCTTAAAATATCTAGTCAAATTAAAACTCGAAACAACGGATTGATATTGAGAAACTTTAGATTTAGGAAAAGAAAAATAGATACCCAAACAGATATAGAACTGCTGCTCATTGGAGCAAGTTACCAGAGCAACATTATAGGAACAAATTAAACGGAAAGTTTCATTAGATAAGTGCACGAGTGGAGGAGTTTGTATATAAATTGAAATTGCCTCACATGCCCCAACAAGCCTTCTGCATATATCTTAGGAGTTATATTATAATATCCACGTATATGAAAATGAAAGATTAAATGAAATAATAATAATACACTATATAGATAACAATAATAATGAACGTAGTAATTTAAAATTATAAAAATTATTTCAAACAGTTGGACAAAAAACTTATAAAGCTGGATAAAGTTTAAATACAAAACGAGGTAATCAATTAATTTATTTAAGAGCGGCTAGACTGTTGTGGCTGGCACTGTGAAATTGTGTCTTATTAAGCCGGGCTACAGTTGCATTAATTACTTTTCCCTGAATAAAGGATCAAGGGCTTAGAAAAAAAAGATAATTACACGATTAGTGTTTATTTAGAGTTGGCAGGACACGAGGTAAAGTGAATGACGCGTGTCATTGTGTGTTTGTGTGTGTGTGTGTGTTGTGTGTGTGTGGCAGTGTGTGTGTGTGGCAGTGTGTGTGTGTGTGTGTGTGTGTGTGGCAGTGTGTGTGTGTGTGTGTGTGTGTGTGTGTGTGTGTGTGTGTGTGTGTGTGTGTGTGTGTGTGTGTGTGTGTGTGTGTGTGTGTGTGTGTGTGTGTGTTGTGTTGAGTGTGTTTGTGTAGAGTGAATGTGAATACGTGTGTGTGTGTGTGTGTGGGATGGGTGTGTTTCTGTGTTGTTGTTGTTGTTGTTGTTGTTTTAGAATCAGCTACTCGGAACAAAAAGATCCAATTATCACGGGCTATGGTGAGCCCGTAGTGGACTGAACTGGCACAGTAGCGGGTCTGTAACTATGTGCTTCTACGTGGAGCCGGTGGCTGAGCGGACAGAACACTGTACGCGTGATCCTGTGGTCCCGGGTTCGATCCCGGGCGCCGGCGAGAAACGATGGGCAGAGTTTCTTTCACCCTGATGCCCCCTGTTACCTAGAAGTAAATAGGTTCCTGGGAGTTAATCAGCTGTCATGGGCTGCTTCCTGCGGGGTAGAGGCCTGGTCGAGGACCGGGCTGCGGGGACACTAAAGCCCCGAAATCATCTCAAGATAACCTCAAGATAACCTTCTGTGTGCTGGGTATGTATTGTGTGGGGTGATATAGGTCAGTGTAGGATTGGTGTAGTCATCTAATTGTGCTTGCGGGGGTTGAGCTCTGGCTCTTTGGTCCCGCCCCTCAACCGTCAATCAACAGGTGTACAGGTTCCTGAGCCTATTGGGCTCTATCATATCTACACTTGAAACTGTGTGATGCGGTGGTTGTATACGTGTGTAGAGAACATAAATAAGCCTTTTAATTTTTATAAGTGCTGCAAATTAGTTTTAACGAAGTCTAGTTACTGAAGCAATCTACATATTTATTTAATAAGAACGGTAAAATAATAAAGAAAGAGTACTTGAGTTACGATCAAAGAATATCGGGGATATTATTGGATATATACAATATCCGGTGGTGTTTGACACGGTCAATAGATGGCGCTATTATGGTGGTATCTGGCATGTCACGATGTGGAGAGCGGCATGTATGTCTTGGCTTCCCCCAACGACCACCCCCCCTCCCGCCCCCCCCCCCATGTAAAGGGTGGGGGGGGCTGGGGGTGGGAGGGGGGGTGGAATACGAAGACAATGAGGTGCCCTACATTCATGTAATGGTCACTCCACTCGCATTGACTGTAGCAGCAGTTCATCCTTCTTATCTTCAAGGTTTGGGTAGTTTTATGAAATATTGGTGTACAAATATTTAATGTCTTATCTCTTTTCAGGTTGTTGTGGTGTTAATGTAAGTTGAGAATTTTATTAAGGTAACATATCTATTTAACACTTTGGTTTTACTCGCCAGATGTCTGGGGTTTGTGCTCTAGTGTGCGGTGTGTTGTCAATACTGGTATTATCAGTGTCCGCTCAACCTGGTTCCGTGAGTATACTGAAATTAATCTTTTTTTTTTTTTTTTAACCTGTATATGCATATATTCCCTTAAGTTTAACCTTGTTAATCTATAGATTTTAAAAACCTAAACTTTGTCAATTAATATTTAACCTGTATTGGTATTAAAGCTTCACATTAATTTCGCAGATTTTAAAAATTAATATATCTTTACTTTGTTTACGAATTTAAAATATTAACTTTTAAAAGTACATTCCGCGCGCTTTCAATCGAACTATATAAAACGTAGCGAGGCACCTTCAAAAGTTTCAATGGCGGCTAGTAAAATTACATTTAAACGTTATATTATAGTCTTGCAAAAGTTTAGTAATTACTAAAATTTTAGTAACTAATTTTTTTGTTCACTTTTATAACAGAGCTAAAACTTTATTTCGGAATGGCCCTCAATAATTAGTTACTACTACTTTAAAGCCATAAGGTTCTCTAACACTAACGTAGACGGAAGAATTCCGCAAGTTTCAACTAGTTAACTTCTCTCCCTCCAGCCTGGCTCTGGTTATGCTGGCTTGGGAAGTATCTTCAGTGGAAGCCAGGCACGAGGGACGCCAGCAGCAGGAAGTGCTAACCTATTGCACCCTGATCAACAGAGGCCCTCTCAAACTGGCTCCAGCCAGGGTGCTGGAATTAGACGACCCCTTCCAGGCGCCGGTTCTTCTGATGGCTCCAGTCACGCTGGCACTGGAAGCAGCGGTCCAGTGACTGGTTCCAGCCTCGGAGGCGGTGACAGATCTGGTCAGGCTGGCAGCGGACCACGGGTTTCTTCAGCCAGCAGCGGTCCTGTGGTAGGATCTGGTCAGCCCGTTGATACTAATCAGGGATTAGGTGCAGGACCGCGCGTCACTGCGGGCAGCAGTAGCGGTCCGGCATCTTACGCTGGTCAAAGGTATGGCAGCCCTCAGGTCAGCAGGGTGGACGCAGTCTTCCACCCCACTGTCACCCAGCTTGTCACCGTCGACCGCTTCGTCACCCTGACTGACCAAGCTTTCCAGAGCGTGGCTGTCACCCTAACTTCCCTCACCGTCCAGACTGTCACCACAGGAACGCGTGGAGTAAGTTTAATGAAGTTTACGTGATGTACAAATTACACAAATGCTAAAGACAGAGCTTAAACAATGTCTTACACAGGTGCTGCAGACGCCCGTGGATGACCGCGTCGCCCTCCAGACAACGGTACTCTACAAAACTTCTACACTAACAGTCACGCACGTACAGTCAGACTTTAGGATTGTGACTGAAAGGTCTTTAGACTACGTGACCATCGCCCACACTTCATACATCATCGTGCAGACTACCTACACCACCACAGCCACCCAGGTGTAAGTAAAGGCACAATACTGTGTTGCAATTGCTAGCCTATTTAATAATTAGTAATCTAATAAAATTTATCTCCCCAGGTTGTCGTACACCACAACGCTGGTGCGGACCAACATAAACACGAAGAGCACAGCGTTCACCGACTACCGCACCATCACCGACACGGTCCTCGTCCCTGGAGGCTACTATGGTTTCAGACAGTCTTAAGACTTCAAAGAATGCTTCATAAACTGTAATATTAGACCCAATAAAGTGCTTTAAAGAAGTTTCAGTGTATTTACTTTCACGCTTTACATTTGTTACGTATGAATGTTGTGGAACTATCGCCATTGAATTATTGAAATCAACAAGGCTTTGAAGATTACGCCTGGAAAATCTGCAGGAATTGGTTTTAACATGAAATCTATACTACGGTCCCATAGTACTAGGGGGAGGGGGAAATCCTGGATCCAGAATAACTTAGTTAAGCAAGCACTTGCGATTCTTTACATTTCTCTTTGGCGGCTTTAGTCAACCATTGGTTAATGAGCTCAGAAGTACTGGGAGGATGTTTATATCGGTAACGGTTGCATGGGAAGTTTTCAGTCTAGTAAAGACTACTTGTTACACACGTGCGTCTTTCCCAAATCTTTAAATGTAAGTGCTTGTGTAACTCCAGCCCTGGAATTTGATTAGTAAACAAACTAGATTGCTGCCTAGTTAATGCTGTGCGTATTACTGGCTTTGGGCATTTTGTTCTAGTTTTCTAAAATCTAACTCGTCTGGTATGTACTCCCAGATTAACAAGATACGTATTTAATACCTGACGCAAATTAAATGTTAGATTCCTATGTACATAAACTGCATCAAATGGAGTTTATTTTACTTGCACAAGGCTTACCATACTTTAAAGATGACTTGTGGTCTGAGGTGTAAACTAGCTGTTAAAATTAGTCCTGGTATTTGAAACCAATAAAGATAAGAGGTAATTCTAGTTACTAACTAAACTGTAGTCTGCCATTACTTCAAATACAAAGCTGGGACGACTGTAGCACTACCCAAGGATTAAATGAGTAAAGGTTGACCTCTTTGATCTAGGACCAAAGCGTTAAATAAATCTTAAGGGGGTAATAATAATGCACTGCCTGAACAGAGGGTGAGTTCGCTATCTATGCCACTCCCCCCCCCCCCTCCCCATTCATCGGGTAGTTCGTAAGCAGTGGCAGACGAGACTAAGGGGTTAAAGCCCTAGTTTAAAGGTATTTGATACTCCCAATCTTATGGTGTACCACAGCTTCAACCCAGTATTCCCATAGAGGAATCTGCAGAGGCCGGCCTCTGTACCATTTGGGAAAAGTTTCTGCGGCTAGGTTACAATCTTCCCAGTTTGGTGTCTTTGTGGCTAGGTAATTTAAAGTCTTTCTGCAATAACGTTGGCATAATTTAATGGCAAATCCTTGCATGTAATTCACCAAATTGAATGAGCTACGTGGAACTCTTGCCATTGTCCGGGTATCAGAGCAGTCCCAGTGGCTAATGACCCCGAACAGTTAAAGCAATTTAAAATTTAAAACCCTAGAGTAGCAATAGTGAATTACTTTCCACCTCGAATATACCGCACTTGGTGCTCCAGACTTGTAGCTTCGTGCCTTTATTGAGGCAACTTATAAATTGGGAAACAAAAACAGCAGCATTCACATGTACAAAGAAACTGAAACTGTAGATCAGGAACAGTTATACAACAGAAAATGAGCATAGCTAACAATGAAATAGAAAAAAACCACTAGAGCATTTTTACCCAAAAATAACTTGGCTGAAAACATAAGGCAACACAAAACTAGAACCACAGTTAATCATCGTATTTATCCGGATAGAAACTATGCGGGTACTACTGCCCGTAGGCAGCCCACAATTCCGCAGACGCATTAACGTGACTACACGATCCTCGCTTAAAATATGTAGTTGTGTAATGTTGTAGGAGCACATGTCTGACAGCGCGCCTCGTTATCCTTTAGACAAATGTGTTCCAGGATGCTGGACACTACGGGCGGGGTATTTTCGAAACTTAAAACATAGACCAGGTCTATGCTTGCATTGTGTTCAGAGGGAGCTTTAAAATTTAAACATTGCTTTATAAGCCCCATATCAACGTTGAAGATTTCAGGCCAAAGCCGTTTGTTACACATACCGGTGCTTTCCCCTTCAGATACTTAACGATTCTTAGTAAATTTCCCAATACGAAAACTTATTTTGCCCTGATTATTAAATATTAACTCCAAAATAAGAACTTAAAAGAGTCAATGAAGCACTCAAGGGGGGCATATTATGGAAAAATGTGATAAATGAAAAAGGAGTATTTAAAACTTTAGTGGTTGCATATAAAATTTGGTACAACTATCCCAACTCATTGTAGCAAATATAGGGAGGGAAGAAAGTCGAAGATTTTCCAAAATGGTTAAAAAGTGTCAAACAAGTCTCAACTGAAGTGTCTGACCAAGCTATCACAATAGTAAAGCATTTTATGCCAAAAGAAATTCAGATGTCTCAAATGCCATTTATCAGCCGATTTGAAAACATTACCTAGAAACACCTTACAGAACGTATGGTCATCTGTAAAGATGCAAGTGAGGAAATTTGAAGTCTACTTCCAACCACAGGTGGCAGTGGGTTTGATTTTTTTTTTTCCCCCAAGTGAAAATTTCAATTTTTTTTCAATTACGTAAAGGGTGTAAATTTCGCGTAAGAGTCGCCGTCTACAATAATCTTAAAACACTTCAAGATCATTTATCGATTTTATAAATCTTTGCAAACATTAAATATTTATATTTGGGGGAAATTTGACTTATTAGTAAAACATGTTGGATAATCCTTCTAGCCAAATTCTATATTATATGATGTGATATACGAGTCTCAGAAATGATGTCTTGAAACTTGTGGTTGTAGTCTATTTAAAAAATTGTGAAATTCGTTGGAAGAAATGATGTCTCCTTTCTATATATGGTGCGGTACTGAAACCAAGAACAGTTGCAGCCCTTTATATATAAAGGAGGGGGGGGGGGGGGTTGACATTAAACAAAGCTTAATATTCCCTCTTAACGAGGGTACCAATATTTTGTGAAAGTACATGTAATTTGTATTACACGTCTGCCAGCCTAGTTACAGTTAAAGGACAGTAAGTCTCCCAAGCGACACCAGTATTTGCTACCCTAGTTTCGTGCAGTTTAATATTTTGATCTTTGCAATCCTAGGCTTCAAATCAGGCCTTTTTCCAAGGGCTAGTTACCACCCAAGTTGATTACTTCCAAATTCATCTTCCACACATTCAGAGGATGAAAACAGGCAAGAGTTCGAAGAGCGTTTATTGAGGAGTACAAAGCGAGAACAAAGTATTATGCATGGTAGCCTGCGTTGACAAACACCGTATCAGTCACTGTCCTGTAGTTTGTGAAGGTAGTGCTCTGGGTACTGATGTTTGTGCGAACAAGTGTAGCCGTATACGTCAACCTGAAATAAGGAATAATTACCAAACTATACAATTTAGCAAGTAATTTTTTTTTTTTTTTTTTTTTTTACCTCAAGTTTTCAACTTACACTTGAGTGGCCGTGGTGGTGAAGGTGTACTGGCTGATGACGTAGGACGTGTGGGCGAGGGTCACGTGGGTTAGGGAAGTTTCAGTCACGATCCTGAAGTCAGACTTCACCTCCGTTAATGTTACGGTCCCGGGCCGGACAAACACCGATGTCTGGAGAGCGACGCGATCATCGACGGGCGTCTGCAGCACCTGTGACGAAACATTAGTTAATACTAGTACTGACGCAGATTAGTTAACAGCATACCATCAGTAGTGTTACAACGTCTACTTACCGCGCGTGTTCCCACGGTGACAGTCTGCACGCTGAAGGAAGTCAGGGTCACGGCCACGCTGTTGAAGGCCTGGTCGGTGACAGTGATGCAGCGGTCGATGGTGATAACTTGGGTGACAGTTGGGGTGAAGAGTGCGTCCACTCTTCTAACTTCAGGGCTGCCAACATTCCTTACAACGTTAACACCCGAGCCACTGGTAGCACGAGGAACATTTATTTGATTTAATGTGCCACTGCCGAATACTGTAGTTCTACTACCAGAGCTTTGACCAAAAATTGCACTAGGTGCCTGCCCCGCAACTACTCCCTGGCCAGATCCTGCACCAGCGAAGAATCCGCTACCAATACCTTGCCCCAATCCAGCATTAGCCGAAGAACCGTGTCCAATGCCCTGTACAAATCCACTGCCAATAGAAGAATCTCTTCCAATGCCCTGAATAAAGTTGGTACCAATTGAAGAACTGCTTCCAACGCCTTGGCCAAAGCCCGTACTAACAGAAGAACCGCTTCCAACACCCTGGCCAAAGACTGTACCAAGTGAAGAACCGCTTCCAACGTCCTGCCCAAAGCCAGCACTAACCGAAGAACCGCTTCCAACACCCTGGCCAAAGCCGCCAACAAATGCAGAACCGCTACCAACACCTTGACCGATGTACCTGCCGGCATTTATACTACCAACGCCCTGTGAAGGCCCTGTAGTTGATGAATCTATGTCACCACCTTTAATGAAGGCGACGTTAGAGCCACTGGTTGGAACGTTGGAGATCACAGGACGACGAATGCTTAGGAAGTCTTGCAGTGCCCCTGTTGCAGGGCTCAGGGGGAGACCAAGATTCGTAGGTGCATTGCTTGCAGCAGAAGAAATGCCAGAATTTGGCCGGGTGTCTGGGGACTGAAACAGAACATAGGGCGTAATATAAAGTGATGGAAGTTTGAGTAATTGGTCTATTTAACTTCAAATTGTGGAAAAAAAATCCATCTGTGACATCTTAAATCATGTCTTTACCTACCTGTAACTGGATATATTGGCTAGACACACCAATGAGGAGAGTAGTTAGTAGTAAGTTAACGGACCACATCTGGAATTTAAGCACAATATTTTATTTTCCAAGCATTTGAGTAGTAAGCCGTTCTGTTTTACCCAGTGTAATAAGCAAACTATGCACAACTATTTTAAATTTAGTAATTTATACGGGGGGGGGGGGGAAGGGGGAGGTGAAGGGTAATTCCGCATGAAGAGAAATTAGCAATCTTTCGATCTTCGAGACAACGTTGACGCTGTCTTATGTTTTTAGTGTAGAGGGCAAGAATATATTTTTTTTGCTTACCTGCAATAAATTTTGCCAGAAAAATTTAATTTAAAGAAGGTTTTATAGAGAAGCTATGCTTTATTAGATAAAGCAAGCAGCATTTAAGAGCTTTGACGAGGTAAGAGGTCAAGGCGTGTTTAAAGAGGTATTAAAAAGTTTGCTTCGTGCAATATTAAACATATTGCCATTTGTTTATCAAATGGCACCTACAGTAAGTTAAGAATTTCAAAACTTTAGATTTAAAGTGCCATGCCACCAAACTTTGGTGACAGCTGGAAGTTTTCCTTTAAGGTCTCTAAAAGTGTCAATACTTTAAGTATTTTAGCAATTACACTTTAGTAGCAGCAAGGTAACAATTTTTAATTTCCCATCTTTTGGAAATATATAAAACTCAAAGTTAAAATCCATATAGTATACTAAGTAATACGTACTTAAAAACCCTTTGTGGCGCCGAGGCAAAATAGCGATATATTTTGTTTAGAGTTAAAAATTCTTTAACTAGAGTTAATCAAATATTAATTAGTGTTAATTCTGTAGTACTTAAGAACTCTATTTCTCGATTGACGGGACTGATACAAGCAATTAAGGGCGGGTAACACCACAACGAACTACAAAAAAAATCAAAGCTTATTAGTCTTAATAATTAAGCCCCTTTTCCAGAATCCACTCGTATAAATGTAAAGCACATAGCAGACATAAGACGACCATTAAAAATATAATATTCTACAAACCTTGAGATATCTCCCCTTGCCGTTATTACTAGAAAGGTGAGGAGTGCACTGGTCACCTAGTACCCTGCCCGTCCCGTCAACACCTGCCTCACTCCTCCCCCCCCTCCCCACCCCCAACCCCCCTCACCTGGTCCCTCCCACCTTATCCCTCCCTCCCACAACCCAGATCCCATCCCCCCCCCTCCCCCGTGACGCGTTCAGAATAACGCTTGAGTTCACGTATGTAATTCTCTTTGTTTTGGTTGGATCTTTAAGCTAAAATTTAAGTTTTTTGTCTCTCGCTAAAAACAACCTAACGTCGAATGTAAGCTAAGCAAACTGCCCTTAATGAACGATGCAATTTGGCCATTATGAATAGGGTACAGACATTCGCCCGCTTGACATGGCAAACATAAGTCATGCGTGGGTCAAACAATTTTACCCATCGAAATGTTTACTAATAAATTTTGTTTTGTCTAACTGCCTCCATTAGGGAAACCCAAGTAAAGAAAAAATAGAGTTTTCTCATAGAATCCAAAGTGTACTATCACACATGTGACATAATTGGAAACCCCCTCACAGCATATGGGCGTAGCTTGAGGTTTATCATAGTTACTTTCTTTAGAATTAATGTGCAACCAGACTCATTCTTGATTTATGAGTTTTCGAAGCCTGTACACGTGGAAAATGACTTGGGTGAATGATAAAAGTGATTCATTTATCGTATTAGCATGAGTATTTTTCCCAACAATTGTTTCGACGTAAAGAATACACAGCAACTAGTCAAACTGACTGAGTCTTCTTGAGTCATTGTCTTTGATATGTTTAATAATAATAATTCTCGTTGTCGATGACAGGACGCCTGTGTGTATATATATTTACTTCAGGCTTAAATCAAGGTCTCCCACAAGGTCGAACTATTGACCTTCCTCAGGATTCAACCCCACAATTGTTGCCTAGCTCCTGGAAACCCATTTATTGCTAGGTGAACTGACACATTAGGTGAAAAGAAACGTCCCCCAGCTATTTCTGTGCCACCCGGGAATCGAACCCGAGTCGAGAATGAAGCCAACGGGAATGAAGTAAGTTCCTGATATTTTTAGGCTACCAAACTTTACATAAAATATCCAAGCTGATTAACACGTTGAGGTCCGAAATATCCTGATTTCTTGGGACTTGTTCAGCGATTGAAGTCGAGTGTCCTTCATATTATGTCCGAAGACCAATCAGATTTAAGCGCAACTGTCCATACTTTTGAGATTCATGCCTTTTGTACCTAGTGAACGCTGATTCATTCTAAGTGGCTCTTGCATTTGTTCCAGTGACCTGTGTTTGGGGACTCCTATTTGGTTCAGATTCCTATTTTACAGAATGGCACTCAAGAGTTGCAGAAGAGACTCTGAAATACTCAAGATTTACCTTTGCATTATACCAAGTGGCACGTTACTAATGTGATGTGACTTTTTTGTACTTGAACAGATTGTACAAGATGATTTGTTATTTTACAAATTGTCTCTCGTGATTAACCCAAAATAACTCGTGGATTATGCTATGTGCTTCAGGGCTTGTGTTTGGGGACTAGTGCAGTACTGTGATTGATAGTTAGTACACAGCTACTCGTGGCTTGTACCAGGTGATTCGAGTCATCAACAAACTGATGAGTTAGGCGACGTAAACTTGTTACATGTACACAGCAACTCGTGGCTCGTACCAGATGGCTCTCGAATTGTACCAGGTTACCAGTGGCTCCTGAATTGAGCCAATTTATATTCTTGGCTTCCAGCATACAGCTTTTATTATATACCAGGTGACATGTGGCGTTTACCTGGTAATTCGTTACTTGTATCAACTTGTATATTTGTATCAATCGAATAATATACAAATAATCCGATAACTTGTAAAATAACCAGATTTAACACAAAATTTCCGCATTTTACAAAGTCAATAACCATGGCCATTGCGCATGCGTCGTTCAAAAGGAACAACTGCCTGTTATTTTTAATAAACGGGTTGAGACTCATTGTACTAGCACAATAATGTGAAATAATGGCCAATTCGAAACGATATGAAAATAATTTGAACACGTCATGAAAATATTTATAAAACTATTTCAAATATAGTTTTGTATTTTTTTAATATTCAGTACACACTGTTCAGTACATTCGGCTATTAATACTACTAATTGTTTGACTTCTGCTCTTACTTCTTCAGTTATTGTTGTTGGTAATACTTCTGCAACTTCTTAACACTAATCTCAAGGCACATAGAAATGTATCAATGAGAAAATCATATTTTTTCATTGGTACATCATGTGATTTATTTTGTACATGTAAAGAGATGAGTAGAAGATAGAATTCCTAGCCTACAAGGCAGAGTGCATCGGGGCACTGTGTTAAACACTGGTTAGGTGTTAACTTATGGTGCTTATGCTTAGGTTAACATAAGATTTAGGTTAAGCATAAGCAGGTTAACTATTTATGCTTCATTGTAAGCCTCAGGAACCCTACAAGATTCAGCTGAATCCCAGATTGCATTGTTTTTTGATCATGTGGTGGTGTAGTGGTCTGAGGCGTTTGCTTGGGAGTACCCAGTGCATAGGTTGGAATCCTCCTCATTGCTCCTACTGATTTTTTTCAGTAACCTCAATTTATTTTATATTATAAATGTAAAGTATGATTGCAAAGGAGTATGGCGTCACACACCATACACCATATAAAATGTGGTGTATGGTGTCTAGTAACCTAAGTATTATAGCAGTGTACTATAATACTTCACTACAGTACTATGCAATAGTACAGCATCTTAGTACTACACCAGAGTACTATACTATAGTAAAATATAGTATAGAACTGTACCACAGAACCGTACGATAGTACAGGACTATAGAATGCGTTTTTGACTAGTCTTCTTTTGTTATCTCATAATAGCATGTTATCTCATAATAGACGGGTGCGACGTTGTATTAAGATATATATTAAGATAATATATATCTATATTAAGACAGAATCTAGGCTCCTGTTCGTCAATAGTTCCTCCAAAGGCTCTTGAATTCAAAATCTATAGAACAGCAGCTCATTGAGTTACCTTTGTTCTTTATACCATTAAACGTAAACTAAATATTGAAATAATGTTTGTTCCTGCGAATATTACATATTTCCTTCCCGAGAGATTGTAGACGAAGAATTTAATATCACATCCACGTCGACAGGAAGGAAAGAGAGATGGAGATATTATACTGTTTCTAAATAATAAAATAAAATACATTGAAAATTTAAACTTTTTCATTTCTCAATTAATCGGTAGATAAAAACTGTACATATTCATTCACTAATGCAAGAGGCATTAAGGCAATTATAACCAAGTTATATGGTCAATATATTTCTTAAGACTTTGAACAAAAGTGGATTTGTCGACTATAGTGACATCACACATGCAGATATTAAGCTGCACAATCGACTTGAGAATGGTCCAGGACGGACCGAAACGTCGTCGTCCCTTCACTTTCTAATGTGTGGTCTGGTCAACAGATACTAATGAATTTAGTAAAAAAAATATGGCAGGTGTGTGGGACCAAACTCAATCATTTATCAACATGTTCAAACACCTAACCACACCCAAGATAGTGGCCCTGCAATGCAAGGACTCCTAAAGCATTTACATGTCAACCTACGAAACCTGTAGATCTTTTCTCAGCTCTGGCAGCTTAGTCTGTACTTATTAAATACTTTATGAACGCAGAGGCTTCACGACGCATGTTTATTATTGTCATTGAAATTCTCGTAGCTCTTTGGAGCACGTAAACCGCTAAATAAAGACAGAGTAAGCCGCCACGACTGTAGAAAGATGTACTGGTTTCGTAAGTAGACACGTAAATGTATGATGAATCCTTGATGAGTCATAAATATAATTTTTTAGGGGTAAATAGTCCTTAGCAAATATAGGATGAGGTTGGGGCAAGGGTCAGCCTTTACTTCACATAGCACTTTATATGTTGTACTTTGGGGGACCATAACATACAAAATAAGACGTATTAGTTGAGAGGACAGGTTGTATATATGACACGTAAATATGAAAGCATGATACAGGTGAGTTGACGTATTATATGTGAAGCCATATATGCATGTACTCACTTCACATATCCCGTCCCTTGTGTTCTCTTTTGGCAAGCCTGTGTAGAAATCGGTCTAGTATTATTCTAGAAAATGTCCCAAAAATTGGAATTACAAAAAAAATTTACGGATTTTTCCCGTCATGAGATATTGCCACCTTTATTTTCCTACAAGCCGAGTTCTCTCAACGGGGGACTTAGCAGAAAAGCGCAATGGTACTAACTATTTCAGACACTTAAGGTAGCTTTAGCAGGTCATGACCTAGGCTTTCAGATATTATATCTCCAATTCTTGGGTCGAGGGACGTGTGTGTGGCTGCGTCAGGCAGCCGAACGTCACTACCTGGTGAATATGGGTCACTTAGCTTTGTTCTCAAGTGCCGTGAATAAATAGTTATCACGTTAAAAATATCTTGTAACTTAGCATTTGTTAACTTAACCCAAATAGCAATTGTATTCTGTGTGTTGTTAACAATAACTGGCTGTGGGGAATCGGCGAGAAAGAAAACGAGAGTTGTTGGTGGTCAGGAGGTGTAGAGGGGGGCAGAGGAGAGGAAGGTAGTCAGTGTGTTCCGCCCCTCAGTACTGCTAGCACCTTCAACACTTCCTTTCCAAGGTTACGTTTGTGGTTGTTTTGTTTTATGTTGTCATGTTTGGCCTGTATATTGTAGCAACACATAGTGATAAAGGGAGAGTTTGTACCAAAGAGATATTTATATTTAGTTTTCTAAGAGTTCTTTTGATAGTTACTACTTCATTGGGGGAGAGGTCTTGGCGTCGAGAGTATTTGCTCGACGAATTCGGTTTTACCACAATCTAGTTTTTCTTGCATAGTACTATAAATAGCGTGTTGCCCGATTTAATTTAAAAACCTAGAATTGCCAAATAACCATTTACTACATTGTATACACTTGGGCACTGGTTAAGGGTTTAGGTTCTGTTGTAGAGTATTTCTAGTACGTGGGGTGAATAATTTGTGGTTCTTAAAACTGGTCAGGGAAGCAGTTTTTCAGGAAGTGTTCAAAACGTACTAATAAGTTTTGAGTACCATGTAACAGCCCGTCCTCGAAGGAAAGACCCAAAAGTTTATGCTGTAAACCAGGCAACCTCTGCTCCCCCACCCTTGTTCGTATAGTTTCTAGATACATAATCGGGTATGGAGGGTGTAATACTTAAAGCATATATTTATTAAAAAGTACATGCAGAATATTCTGCTTGTAATTTGCTTCTCGCCCACCTAGATCTTGATACATAACCCCTGTTACCAGACATGACCCCGTGACGTCTAATTATTGGCCTAATGACTAGTCGAGGATACTAGTTTATCCTTATGTTTGAGTACTCTTCTGGAATGTTTGAAAAATCCTTTGTATTAACTAAGCAGCTGTAACCTCGTCTGTAGTAATATGGAACTGACTTTTGACCTATAGTCATGGGTTTGCCAGACTCCTTACTACGTAAAAATAGGATCGCACTGAGCTTCGATATATCTGGTAAACTCAAAATGCTGGCATGTGGGTGAGAACGTTAGTGATTGTAAGGGTCATTCCATGGAGAATGAATGGGTTGAAGGTACTCAGGTTGCGTGGCTGGCTGTTTAGTCGGTTCATACTCGGCATAAACAAATCCAGCCCCTCTTGTACATTAGTTTTTGTATGATGGTTAAGTGGTTATAAATGGTGTTCTTTGGTTTAACGTTGGAATTCTTGGAGAAAGTGCAATACAAACTAGTAAAGTCTTGGATATTAAAGTAGGTTAGGAACCGTAAGTGTTAAAAGCCCTGTATCCAACTATTGCTCTAATGGTGATGGTTAATTAGCATGGCTTCGTATGATAGTTAAAATGTACCAACTAGGAATATTAACTTCGCTTTAAGATTTCTCCTTCTGCACGAAACTTCAGAAAGATGTGCTCTTAACTGTTAAGTGCTTATGCAATTGAAACGCTTAGTGTTATCAAATCTAAAAGTCTTAAATGTTTAAATATTAAGTTAAGCAAAACCTCATATATTAAAAATGCTTACTCTAAAATATTGCATTAAATATCCCCCAGATGTATCTACGTGTCACCCTACTTACGTACGTGGCAGTATGTTTGGTGGCAGTTCTGGGACAACCTCGCTCGGTTAGTACCGGAAAAACTTTTAATTGTGCCGCTTCTCTTGCTTACTAACAAAATTGAGACTTGACTAATGTTTACTCTCTTCAGGGCGGCACAACTCCGTATGGCGGTCAAACACTTGGCAGTGCACCTCTTCCTTCTGGTCAGGGAGTCGGAGGCGTTCCATCTGCTGCCTCACCAGATACATCTGCCCAGGGCGTCGGTGGATCTCTTGCTTCCAACCAAATCTTTGACAGGTTTGGACAACTTGGTAGCGGACCGCGCGTCTCTGCGGGCAGCAGCGGTCCAGTTGTAGGAGCTGGTCAGGGCATTGACAGTAGTCAGGGACTCGGTAGTGGACCGCGCGTCACCGCGGGCAGCAGTAGCGGTCCGGCATCTTACGCTGGTCCAAGGTATGGCAGCCCTCAGGTCAGCAGGGTGGACGCAGTCTTCCACCCCACTGTCACCCAGCTTGTCACCGTCGACCGCTTCGTCACCCTCACTGACCAAGCTTTCCAGAGCGTGGCTGTCACCCTCACTTCCCTCACCGTCCAGACAGTCACCACTGGAACACGCGGGGTACGTATTTGGGTATATTGGGGTAACCATGAGTGAGGATGGGACTGATAATCTTAAAATAACTAAATATAACTTCGCACAGGTGCTGCAGACGCCCGTGGATGACCGTGTCGCCCTCCAGACAACGGTAGTCGTCAAACCTTCAACACTAACAGTCACGCACGTGCAGTCGGACTTCAGGATTGTGACTGAAAGGTCTTTAGACTACGTGACCATCGCCCACACTTCATACATCATCGTGCAGACTACCTACACCACCACAGCCACCCAAGTGTAAGTACATGCTGGTCTCCAGTGCTATATTAAATAGTTAAAATAGAAAATATACTATTTATCTAATGCTTTCTCCCTCCCCCCCCCCCCACCCAAGGTTGTCGTACACCACAACGCTGGTGCGGACCAACATCAACACGAAGAGCACAGCGTTCACCGACTACCGCACCATCACCGACACGGTCCTCGTCCCTGGAGGCTACTATGGCAACCGCCAGTTTTAGCCTCGACTTGTTATTCTTTGAAATATGTACATTATTATTGACCCGGAAGACTGCTTCAAATGCCGTCCATGCAATATAAACTGACTTAATAAAATTAAACATGCGTAAATTCCGTATCATTTGTCCTCTTAATGTGTGTTGTTGCCGAAGAGCGCTTGCTAGTCCCATCAGACGGGCTCTAAAATACATTAGTCTAGTGCATACAGATGCACCGTTGGTCAGTGACCTTGGGACTACTGATGGACAGTAAGCATGGAAAAATTTAGTTTCAAGTATACTTGTACATTAGAAGCCATGCAATCTATACTGTAAGCGTACGTCTTTCCCCCCCAAGTTTTTCCTTCCTACTTCTAGAATCGCCAAAAGCGAACACTTTTTAGGTCGGTTATGGGTTTTCCCCGCACCCAAAAAATGTAAAGGCAACTAGCACCTGATTACAGATAAAAGCGTTAGGGAAACTTCTCATTCCACTAAACGAATGAAGATCCTCCAGGGTAAGAAGTAAATAATTATCATTAAAAACACTACAGCAGTGACGATTTTCTTTCGATATTTTCTCTTCATCGTAAACGTCTTCCATCTGGAGGACTAAGAAACAAAAGATCGCTTAGAACCATTTTTTATTGTTCGACGTGACTACATATTAGTCTTTACGTAAACCGTTACACTAACATGGCTATCCTAATCAGAGTAGCTGACAAACCTTATGGTTCAAAGTAGCATGGGGTATGGTGAGCCTGTAGTGGACGTGCCTGAATGATGGTTTAAGAGATTGTTGGTCGTAACAATGTCCATGTAGTTTTATACATTTGTAAGTGTGGGTATACCTCGTGAAGATTCGCCTTATCATTAATGCTAGGGATCGGTGACTTGCCTGCTCTCTGCCAGGTTCCACATCTTCCATCACTCGGAGGACCATCGAACAGTTATGCTCGAAGTCTAATTATGTTGATTACTAGTTGGCTGCCGAATGAATACTGCCTCCTACGATCGTCTGTGCGTGATTACTGTTGTATCTTTCACTGTCTTGTATTAATGTTGTTTAAGTCTTGCAAACGACAAGTCTTTATTCGTGATCCGTCCAATGTAGCACACATCGGGGGTCTCCAGAGATGTTTTAACTACATTAGTGCACCTCGGTTTGTCAGAGGCAGCAGCTATGCTATTTCTCATAAGTGAAGATGAGAGGTTATAAATGACGGGACGAATCTGAGTTTTCACTGAGGTTTGCAAATCCATTCTCACCTTATCGTCCTTGTATGCCTGAGTGAATTATAAAAATGTATACTGCAGTGTCTTCTTGGGGGGGAGGCTGATTGTCACTTGCTGGACTAAAAATTGAATTCTGTAATCGTTGCTCAATTCGGCGGATTCATGGTGCAAGAACTGCAAAAGAAACGCATTGGACGACGTGTAAAAGCGTCATCCGTGCATTCACTCATTGTTAATGCAATTTCCTGCAGCTGGTTAACATTAGATCCGATAAATATCAATTACCGTCAACAAGAACACTTGTGGAAACTCAATTTTAACATAGCTTGCCACGAAGACTCCAATGTCTTACGTACCTGTAGTCGATACTAACCCTTCCCTCGTCCATGGCGACAATTGGAACCCCAACCTGCAAGGAGAGGTTACCCTCTGGGAACAAAAGGAGCTCGTGGTGCAGGCTTCCAGTTTATTCATTAAGATTGCCTCCCTCAAGGTACCTCGGGCAATTTACATATATTTGACCTTTTAGGCTAACCAGTAAGGTCTGCTCTGTGCAAGGAAGCATAGGTGGTTGGGTCAAAAAATTTATATGAAAATGCTTAGATGGTTCACTAGAAATACTATCAGAAGCTGCCCCTTCAACATCCATCATGTACAAGTTATTACTTCACTAAAATAGAGTACCGCACTAATAATTTGAGCAGCACTGGAAACCTAGAATGCTGGTTCGATACCGACACCAACTTTCATGGAAAAAATTTGCTACAACAGCAAAAAGTCATACATGTAGGCGAACTCTGCTCCTGGAAGGCAATTCTTTGATACCTTTGAAAAGGCAGGCCTAGTCAGATCCGCCACCAAGCTCAGTTTACTTGTAATCACATTATTGCACTGGTAGAACCGTGAGACTTTCCCCATACCGTGAAGCACTACAGGCAACTCCAACGAGCGTAGAATAGTGACACGTACCACAGATACAGTTGAAATGCAAAGCATGGCCACAGTAGGAATAATTACTTTCTGAACCGGGCGACATCAACAAAAATAGTCGGCAAGTATCGCCGACATACATTCATTGAAGTAGAGTTTGATGCAGTGGGAGGAAGCCTTTACTTTCTTCGTGTCAATTGCACTAAATATTTTCTCTGCTATCTTGGGTTACACATTTTTCAGCCTGGCTGCAATCCTGCCAACTGTATAGGACAACTCACTACGCTAAATTTAGTTGCCACTACTTCAGACTTCAAATCTGTGCCTGTACTAAAGTAGAAGCTCGGCGAATACTTTCGCATAATGTGCAACAAAGCAGCTTTCGAGGAATAGTAATTTTTACCGAGGGACCGGTGTGGCAACGGGTAGGTTAAAATTGAGCATCTAAAGATCACGCCATTTTATCTATAAAATTTGAAAGGAAAAGTATAAAAAGGAAACCCTTTAAGACTAGTGATCTGGATGCCGAGGGCTTCCTGCTTTTAATTGATAGAAGCATCTCCGGATTAAACCTCGTGGTCTAATTTTAGTACCACTATTATCTTCAGACCTGAAGATAATGTGCATAGTATACTGAAGGTTGGGTAGTGACTAATGCTGTTATAGCGTCTAGGGAATGAAGCAAGTACTAGCGTAATTGTTCGAGAAACTGCGTAGGAGGGTGAAGTGTTTGTGATAGTTTTGATTTTTATTGAAACAGGATTTTTTATGATTAAGCGTGGCAATAAATTATGTTTGGGACATGCGAGTGCCTACATATGCATTAAGTTTGTTAGAGAAACTTTTCACATGCAACGAATGTTTTTGGAATTTCGCAATTTAGTCAAGAACGATGAGGTATAGCAAGAAAAAGGTCTCACTAATTTTGCAGCTTTATAAGAAAGGTATCAAAATGCCGTTCAATAATTTACTACTGCACTGAATGTTCAATATACTAAGAAGTATTCTAGTTAAGGTAGCTGTGGTAAAAGTTAAGGTACGTAGTAATGTATCCAATAGAATATATTTTTATTGAAAGTTACCCATAGAAATTTAGTTACGAAGTGCTAGTGAACAGTAACATTTAAGTAATGTTCACCAACACATTAAACCTAGTCATGACGAAAAAGTATGCCAAAAAAATTAAAACTGGCGGTTGCCATAATAGCCTCCAGGGACGAGGACCGTGTCGGTGATGGTGCGGTAGTCGGTGAACGCTGTGCTCTTCGTGTTAATGTTGGTCCGCACCAGCGTTGTTGTGTACGACAACCTGTTGGAAGACCAAGTATTAGGTAGGCAGGACATAACATGTTTAGTACTGCACATAAAGTATATCTTTAACTTACACTTGGGTGGCTGTGGTGGTGTAGGTAGTCTGCACGATGATGTATGAAGTGTGGGTGATGGTCACGTAGTCTAAAGACCTTTCCGTCACTATCCTGAAGTCTGACTGTACGTGCGTGACCGTTAGTGTAGAAGGTCTATAGAGTACCGTTGTCTGGAGGGCGACACGGTCATCCACGGGCGTCTGCAGCACCTGTGTAAGCCATTGTTTAAGCTCTGTCTTTTTAGCATTTGTGTAATTTGTACATCACGTAAACTTCATTAAACTTACTCCACGCGTTCCTGTGGTGACAGTCTGGACGGTGAGGGAAGTTAGGGTGACAGCCACGCTCTGGAAAGCTTGGTCAGTCAGGGTGACGAACCGGTCGACGGTGATAAGCTGGGTGACAGTGGGGTGGAAGACTGCGTCCACCCTGCTGACCTGAGGGCTGCCATACCTTGGACCAGCGTAAGATGCCGGACCGCTACTGCTGCCCGTGGTAACGCGCGGTCCGCTGCTACCCTGGCCAAGTCTGTCACTGCTGCCTACGCCTTGCCCGGCTCCCACAACTGGACCGCTGCTGCCTGCGCTAAGGTGCGGTCCACTACCAAACCTGTCACCAAAGACAGAACTTGAACCCGAAGAACCACCAGGAGCAGAACCAACAGCTTGAGCACTGCCAATTCCCTGGCTCGATGCAGATTGCGATCCGCTGCCGGCTCCCTGGCTAGAACCGGTAGCTGGTCCACCGCTCTGGCTGGCATACGGAGCTGTGCCGGACTGAAATTATTTGTTAGAAGATTAAAACCGTCTCATTTATAACTATATCATTATAACTATTATACGAAGCATAAACCACTTTACTAACCGAACGAGGTTGTCCAAGGACTAACAGTGTCAGGGATAATGTTAGCGTTCCGTACACAAACAGCATGTTGATGCGGGTAGAGTTCTGAAAACTTTACTGATTAGACAAACTAGCATTTCAGAATAATTAAAATTAAGTCTTAGTCCTACTTTTCCTATATTCACTAGTTTAGTGAAGACTAAGTCTATTCATCCGTGTAAATATATAGAAGTGGAAAACTAGGGAGAGTAAAGTTTAAAGTTAAACTTTAAAGCTGAAGCCATTTAAAGTTGGTAAGCTTTATGCAAATCAAATCTTTTGCGTCCTTATTTATAAAGGTTCAAGTTACTCGTAAATGCCTTTACGATAGACCATGTCATGCTTTGAAGTTAGTAAAGCAAACAAATTTAGCCTTGTTAAACAGCTGAACTCATTGTAAAGGCGGTAGGGTCAAGATAGACGCGCGTAGGGGTGAATGTGCATTTAGCTGGACACAGAGGGGGTGATAGATAATACGTACCATATTGTATATATCTTTCACCATGCTGGGTGGCCGAGATTGACAGCCCAGCAAAATGAGGCACCGAGCAATTTCTCCAATTTAAACTGATCCAAAGTAATCTGGTACCATTTGTTTCAGTAACGGGACAAGAGCCATTTTATATTTTGGATTTACTTAATGTTTTACCATAGACGGCAATGTCAAGTGAAAAACATTTCATATAAAATTTAATTACCAGATTAAAAATATGCAGGGGGATGGATTGAGTAAAATTGGTACTCATGTTAAAAGTATTTATCCACTCAAGACCTAGCTATTTAAGGATTACATTAGAACCTATTTTAGAAAAAAAAAAAAAAAAACTTCAGTGAAACCAAATTACTGCACGACAAGAGTTGCGCCGTTATTTTAGGGAGTATTTAATGTAACAGATTAAGTGTAGTTTAAGGCGTCCTTTGGGAAAACCTAAAGTACTACCCAAATTCTTTTAACCATTTCCCCCATAACTGATATCCCGATGTGGAAATATCTCTAAATGTTAAAGAAAAAAAAAATCACCGAATGCTTAAAAAAATACATTCCCTCACCTACAATCTAAAACCAAAGTAACCAACACTTGCAAATAACACACAAACTAACCACTGGACTCGAGTCAGAGGAAGTTCCGGTGGGAAGGTTGAGTGTGAACTGAGGGCTGTCTACCAGGCGCCCTCCCTTAATGCCTCGGCCCCCCCAGAGAGAGTGTAAATTCCCCTCATTTCTCATAATGACTACCCATTCACCCCCCCCCCCACCCACCTTTGCCAATATTTTCAAACTATATCATACAGGTATTTTATATTTAGAACAGTTTAAAGTTTCCTTCTATCACTTCACTTAGTGTCTTCCACTTGTTCACTAACCTGACATTGAAACAATTATTTGTAAGGTCTGTATGTTATATTTAGATTCTCAGCTTCCACCTGTGTCTCCTTCTTCACGATGTTGTTGTTGTTGTTGTTGTTTTAGATTTAGCTACTTGGAACTAAAATATCTATGTAGCACGAGCTATTGTGAGCCCGTAGTGGATTTTCCTGGCAGAGGAGCGGGGCTGTAACTACCTTGTTCACGGACTGCACATGTTAAATAGTCTGTCCTCGTCTGCTTTATTTCCTGAGTATTTTGCATATGGTGATCAGGGGTACCCTGTTCCTTCTCACTTCGTAGGACGTTAGATTTACCTCCTTTAGTCTTTCTTCGTAACTCATACCTCTAAGCTCTGTGACTAATTTGGTGGAATATCCCTAAACTTTCACCAGCTTCGTTTTGCTTTTAACAAGAAAAAGGATTCCATGCGAGCTATGCATATTTAAGAACTGATCTGACATAAATTGTATACAAGATCCATAACGATTCTTTGCTTTCGTTCCTTAAGGCAATTTTGATATTTGTCAACTTTCCGCATGTAGCCGATGACATTGATTGATGTGGCCTTGTGGTAACAGGTTCGGGGGCTCTGTCACCCCCCTTCTCCCTTCCTCCCTTCCATCCCTGCATCCCTTCATCAAACCGTTTCCTTCTGTTTGATTCGATGAGTGGTTCCTCTCCATTGTAGTACCTACAATCTGACCATTTCCCAGCTTCATTGCTTTGCACTTCGTAGAATCAAACTCAAACAGGCACTCATTAGCCATTTTAGGTGTTTTATCATGTCTCTCAGGCAGCTGAACAATTAAATTAAAAAAATGTGAGACAGAAACCGATATTAAGTATTCACATTGCTGGGAGAGGTTGTGAGGTTGACACCAAAAGTGAGGTGGACAGACACTGCGTTTGCAAATAATGAAAGTAATTTCCTTAGTATTTATAACAAGAACAGTTGAAAAGAAATAGGTAAAGTTAAGAGAAATTATGAAGTGTAGGAATTTTTGTAGATAAATTTAGAAAGAAAGTTTTTGCCTGTACATTAGTACAGACAAAAGGAAATCCTAAAAAAGAATTCTTCAGACATCAAGCAAGATTAGGGTGAAGACTGAACCACCTTCCGGGAGAGGGAGCCTGTCGGCCGAGCGGACAGCACACTGGACTTGTGATCCTGTGGTCCTGGGTTCGTTCCCAGGCTCCGGCGAGAAACAATGGGCAGTTTCTTTCACCCTATGCCCCTGTTACCTAGCAGTAAAAATAGGTACCTGGGTGTTAGTCAGCTGTCACAGGCTGCTTCTTGGGGGTGGAGGCCTGGTCGAGGACCGGGCCGCGGGGACGCTAAAGCCCCGAAATCATCTCAAGATACCCTCAAGAAGATAACCACCTGTGCATTTCGGCAGCTTTGGTAACTGATAATGATAAATAAATGTATTATACTCTAAATAATTATTAAGTATTTATAGAGAAGAACTTGGTACTTTATTTCAGCTGAAGAAAGCGAGATTTTTTAAGCATGTTCTATTTATTTTGTTTAATAGTTGAATAGGAAAAATCTCTAAATCAATAAAAAGACGCATTTTAAGGTAAAAATATATTTATTTTAAAAGTAGATTCGACAAAGAAATAACAAAGCAAACTTTTTAATTGAGAGACAATCAATAAAGAGAGAGCTATAATACTAGTAATTAAACATACATCATAGGGAAATCGAATGAAGCAATGTGATTTCACAAAACCCAAATGTATAAATCAACTCAATGTGGCATATAGAGATTAAATAAAATGTTTTGCTTCAAATTTAGATATCCTGTTAAAGTGTTAAACTCTCGTATATTGAGTTTTTGAAGCAATATTGTCGGTCCAGTCCGTCCTCATCACAATGGACTACATTACACACAGAGATCCCACTAACGTGATGCATTAGATGAAGTGTATGAAATGCATCAATTGTAATGATGTAAGGGCGAAGAGGGAGAACGGCCTATTGACATAGCTCGGGTGCAGGGGGGGGGGGGGTTGTGTAAAATCCTGGTTTGTGCCTCGGAGATGCTACAGGATCCAGTAAGTTCAGTAGAACTTCGGTTTCAACCCTTTTACCCTGTCGTAGCTCAGTCGATTAAGGCAGTGTCTGGGATGCTCCCGGACGCAGGTTCGAATCCTCGTCACGGCCCTTGTGGATTTGTCCAATGGACTACATAGTCTTCTCGGCATGATATCTCCTTTTGATAATTACTTACTTATAAACAATGACCTCGTTAATCAAGCCTTTAAACCACCTTGTTTACGAATGAAAACGCTGTTCTGTATACACAAGACTCCAATCCGTCCTCAGGCCAGGCTCGTTATAAATGGGATCTACCCCCGTCACATTTATTCATCAATTACGACGAATTGTTTATCAAAAATAGGTTTGTTCTCATTTATTTAAAATAATTAGTATTCTATATTATAACTCTAGATTCAGTTAGTCGTAGGTTAGGTGTTTAAGGTCTATTTGTGATTATTGAATTTAAAGTAAGTGGGGAGGGAACTATCAGGGAAAAGCACCAAGTCATTAGAACTCTATTTGCACTTGCAAGGGATCAGAATTGGGATTGGGACGGGAAGGAATGATGCCTAACCAAATGGACGGTCGGGGATTGAACGCCGATCTGCATGAAGCAAGACCGTCGCTCTACCGTCCAGCCCAAGTAGTTAGATAAGTGGAATGAAGCATTTACAGCGTTGTGATCCGAACAGGTGGGACGCCAGCGAAGCATTACTCGCGAAATGTTCGAATGTTATCAATTGTGAGTCGTGTGTATATCGTTTTTCATTCATAAGCCGGGAGTTTGGCAGGTGGATTAAATAGCTATTGTTGATAAGAATGGGCTGACTGGTAACAACTGAAACTTTCCTGAACGGTGCATCGTTAACGTCTTCTGTTCGAAGCGCAACTGTAAATGCCTCACCCACATCCTTCAAATACAACTAACTGTCAAGCGAAACTAAACACGTAACCTAATATACGGCTGACTATACATGAAACGCTAATACATAATAATATTACCTTATTCACGAGAAAAACAAATTTTCATTATACATTGTTAAAATGGCTGAACATGTCTTTCTGGTCGGTCACAGAACTGACGAGCAAAGCTTGTGACGGGTAGTTGGGTGGGAGAGGCAACGAGGGGGAGTGCTTACAGGGAACCCACATTCCACGCTGGACACTTGACTGTGTTGTATTGTCTGAACTTACTCTAGACGGTTTTATTGCACCCTGTCATGGTTTGTAGTTCGTTTTATTTCTCGTTGTGTATTTTTGGTCAAGCGTCACATTTAGCATATTAGTTTGATACTTATATATGAATTTTAATTAGAAGTGGATGTTGTGAAAGTAATGTAATTGAAATTTTTTGATCTTTCAGATGGCTGTTGCTCTCTTGCTAATAATCTTCGGGTGTATAGTGCAGGTAAGATTTCTATATAAGTTACTCTCTCTTTTTCTATGTTAAGTGTTCGTTATTAGCAATTTGTTTCTATCTCGACAGAGCCAGGGTCAGGCTTACCAACCTTACGGCACCCACGCGCCCGTTCCAGTGGTCACCCCCACGACCTCTACTGTTACAGCTGAGGTTAGTAAGAAAGTGAACATGGGTTTTAATTTTCTATTTATTACCCTGCCAATAACTTATTAATTAGCAACATTTATCTAATAATTGTCATTCATTTTCAGACGACCCTGACCCACACGCTGCGGGAGACGACGACCTCTGACGTGTGGGTTACAGAGCAGACGGCGATCACCCTGACAGTCACCCAGACAACCACCCAATGGGACTTTGTTCCCCAGTATCCACAGACGGTGACCTCTGTGATAAGGGTCACCTCCACACCGGTAGTGGTTGAGACGGCTACGGTGGGGGTCAACCCAGTGAGCACAATGGTGTCCATCTACAGTCAGTTCGTCACCACCACAGATACTGCTAAATACTGGCAGACCATAACCCACGTCGCTGTCACTCACGAGGTAACTAATGACTGAAAATATATTTTAAAGTTTTCCTAGTTAATAAGCATAAATTATTAAAAATCTCTCCCTTTGCAGATCCAGACTGTTCCGGTGGTGACCACACAAGAGCTTTATCAAGAGATAGTAACTACGGTCACCCAGATAGTAACGACGACGGTTACCTCCTCCACTGCAAGATACTATGCTTGATCTTCTTGCCTTTTGTTTAATTCGTCTAGTAATTCTTAATGTTAAATACTCTATTTGGAGTGAAATAAATGTACTAAACTTGGGTCCTAATAAAATGAATGTTGCAATACTGGGCTTGCTTACTGTCCCTATTATCTAGAAGTACATTAAAAAGGTTAAAGTTCCCTAATGCAGATGAAATGCATTAAAATAAAACGAAGGAATATTTATAGTTTCGTTTAAATCAGTTTAGTTCATTTTAAACTAGCAAGTCTTGGAAGACTTCCCTCGGCTCAAGAGCCTAAAACAAACCATTCACTCAACGCTCCGTCTCGGGTGAACATTTTTTTTATGCAGTATTACAGCAGTTGTAGCTGCAATAATTAGTGTTTGCTCAACAATTTCACGGTCATAACTTATGAATATTAAGACCTACAGAGTTGTAGCTCTCTAAACTTCTTTGAAGCGTACGTGCGATAGTAAAGTTAGTGATAAAGATTTCAAATTGGATTTCCTCTTAAAGGTGATGTCTTCGCCAAACGTTCGGAAATTCCTGTTAATAGATAAAGGGTGGAATTGGCAGGTTTTAGTGAAGTGCGTAAATACCTGGGTTTTACTGGCACTTGATTCTCTTTACTTCCCTGGTAAATTATAGAAGTTGTGTAGGAAAGAAATGTCCATAGTAATTTATTTACAGGGGGTTTTAAGCTTCGACTTAGACACTTCCATAATGGGTTGATCATTTTAGATTTCGGTGTAAAGATCCGTTTAGTATACTGAGGGTTGTACAGGGGGCTAGCAACCTAAAATTGAATTTTAACGGGCAATGCTTTTAGGGTTTTGTGCCAGAGCAGTTGAGTTTGACAAAAGATCTAGGCAAGTTGACCTTTTTACCTCTTCGTTATCTCGCTTGCAGGTCTTTTCATTCGTCTTTCTAATTTCTCGTATTGTTCCTTCCTTGCCCCCGTGGAGGGTCCCCCTTCCGAAGTTTTGTACATCCTTGACCCGCATTACTTAAGCTTTTACTACTACTACGGTTCTAAAACGCTTCTCACTCCCGCTCCGTTTCCATCTTCACCGATGGGTCGGAGTCTGCGGACGGTGTTGGCTACTGTTTTTCCTGATTGCCCTTGTCGCTTACCTCCTGAGACTAGCATCTTCACGGCGGAACTTTGCTATTCTCTATGCTCTTCGTCTCCTGCTTTCTCGTTGTCAGTCTTCCTTTGTAGTTGTTGACTCTCGCAGTGCCCGCATGGCTCTCGGGTCCTTTAATCCAGTAATTGTCGAGATCCAGCATTGGCCGTTTCTTGTTCACTAAATTTAAGTCGGTTGAGTTTTGTTGGGTTCCCAGCCATATTGGTGTCTTTAAATGAGCGTGCGGATGCTGCCGCCAAGGAAGCTGTCCGCTCTTGTCCCATCTCTCTTAAAGGCATTCCGTATTCAGACTTTTACCCGGTTATCCATTCCTCAGTCCTTACCCGTTGGCAGGCTTCTTGGTTGTCTGTTACTGGTAACAAGCTACGTACTCTTAAATGTTGTGTTTCCTCGTGGCCGTCCTCCTTCCACCGAAACCGGCGGTGGGAAACAGCTCTGGCGAGGTTGTGTATTGGCCATACTCGCTTAACCCATGGTCACTTGGAGTGCCGCCCTGCTCCTTATTGTCCTAGTTGCATTGTCCCTCTTACGGTCGTGCATGTCCTTCTTGAATGTCCTGACTTCCAGGACGAGCGTGTGTCTTGCTTTCCGACCGCCCCTCGCGGTCACCTGTCCCTCAATAGAAGTCTTGGTGACTTGATACTTTTGATATCGTTCGCCTTATGCGTTTTTGTTCTCGTATTGGCATCCTTGGTGATATTTAGCGCCCTCTGATTATTTTGCGCATTTGATGGTGCTACATAGCCTTCCCGGTTTGGTGCCTTTTGATAATTACTTACTCGTTGGCAGGCTTATTGGTCTTCTGTTACTGGTAAACTGCGCACTCTAAAGTTGTCCTCGTGGCCGTCCTACCACTGTAACCGGAGGTGGGAAAACGGCTCTGGCGAGGTTGCTTATTAGCCATGGTCACTTAATGGAGCGCCGCTCGGCTCCTTATTGACCAAATTGCATATTTGTTCCTCTTACGGTCGTGCATAGCATATCCTTGGTGAATGTCCCGACTTCCGGGACGAGCGTTTGCCTTGTTTCCCGACAGTCCCTCGATAGTTCTTGGTGACACTATCGTTCGCCTTATGCGTTTGTTCTCTTATTGGCATCCTTGGTGATATTTAGCGCCTATTTATCCCGCACATGTTGCTACAGCCTTCCCGGTTTGGTGCCTTTTGATAATTACTTACTGGCTGGCGCCAGAAGTTCATTCTTTGATTTCAACCCGGTCACTAATGCCGAAATGCTCCTTTCTTCCTACTGTGCGATGGAAACTTTAGTGGGTTTATACTTTCAGGTCCTGCTTTACATATCTAATAGATTTTTGGCCTATTCCTATTGTCTAAGATTTGTCCAGCTAAACCTGGATAATCTTAACCGAATTAGATGTCCTTCAATATCACGGTAGTGATGGTGCCAAGTAGTCCTACCACCCAACCGATGTTTTGCCTTTTATTGGACCATTCTATTTAGTACCTTTGACATTGCCAGTATTTAGAGACAAGATAAATATTCTACAGTATGAACTATGGATCTGAAAACTTATTCTAATAATTTGCCCGAATTTGAAAGTTGCGAATGTCAATCTACCATGGTAGATCTTTGGCACGAGACTTTGTACTGGGGAGCCAAGTAGTTTGACCCAAGATATAGAAGTGTCTGGTTCCTGTGGTCAAGAAATTTGAGTCTTTTCCTGCCAATTTCCCGCTTTAATATGATCCTCCTCTACTTGAACATTTTTCGTAGGTCAGTCTAGGAAACTAGTTCTTACGGGGTCTACGTAATTTAATTTTGGTTAGTCCTTCCAATTATAACTGGCAAGTTTGTTGGGTTGGGCAACAGTTTGTATGCCGGTTAAAACATTACAGCTCTATACTACCGTTACTTTTAGCCATTTGTGCTTAGATCTGAAGCCACGATAAAGAATGAACCGTTTGAATGTGTTGATAGCTATAATAACCGATGGGCAGAATTAGGAGTAGTTAGCACTAAACTAGTGAAGGTCTAAGTTTATATTTCTTATTTTTCGTTTTAGCGATATTAGCACTACTGTTTAAGCGAACCAGGTTAATTTCAGTCAAATTGGACTAGATTAAGCCCAATATAGTGCCAAGTACCGAAAGTTGAGAGCCTTGACAGGGGCACAATATTAAGAATTCAGGATATTTAAGTAATTAAGAACCCAAATAAAGGCATCGTTTATTGACGTTTAAACACACCAAACAGTATCACATTTCATTGACGATAGCCGTAGCCACTGTTGACGTACACGGTGTCAGTTACCGTGCGGTAATTCGTGAATGTAGTTCTGTGGGTATTTATATTGGTGTGGACCACCGTTGCCGTGTACGTCAACCTGAAAGATATTAGACGGTATATTATTATGCTAATGTCTACCCGACCCCTGTACCCTTACCCGCCCACAAGTTCTTAAGCATAAAGAGGGCCTAGTGAGCTATATTTAGATTTTGATTAAGCATAGTAGCTTCATAGTTCATTTACTATTTAAAGCTAGCTTCCTCGACGCAAAGAGGCTTTAATTTAAACTGTATAGCCCTACAGGGAAGTTACTATGCTTGGGTCAAAGGTCCCGTGTCGGTTCAGAGAGTTGAGGGGAAGTGTAAGGGGGGGGGGGGACATGTCAAGCCATTACGCCTATAAAAACTCTTACGGGATAAGGATGAGAAAAGAGGGGGGGGGGGGAGAAAGAAGAGTGCCCAACCACTTTGACGGTCGGAGTTTGAACGCCGACCTGCACGAAGCGAGACCGTCCAGCCAAAGTGGTTGGTCAAGAAATAAGAAAATTATAGCCAAGTTAGGACAGTTTCCAACTTACACTTGGGTGGCCGTGGTGGTGAAGGTGTACTGGCTGATAACGTAGGACGTGTGGGCGAGGGTCACGTGGCTTAGGGAAGTTTCAGTCACGATCCTGAAGTCAGACTTCACCTCCGTTAATGTTACGGTTCCGGGCCGGACAAACACCGATGTCTGGAGAGCGACGCGATCATCGACGGGCGTCTGCAGCACCTGTGACAACACTTTGGTAAGTCATCAGTTTCAGCAATGATTGTAACATTTGAACAAAGACAGTAACAGTCCACGTACCGCTCGTGTTCCCACGGTGACAGTCTGCACGCTGAAGGAAGTCAGGGTCACGGCCACGCTGTTGAAAGCCTGGTCGGTGACAGTGACGCAGCGGTCGATGGTGATAACTTGGGTGACAGTTGGGGTGAGGACTGCGTCCACTCTTCTAACTTCAGGGCTGCCAACATTCCTTATTATGTTTGCTCCTGGCCTACTAGTTACACGAGGAACATTAACCTGGCTAGACCTGTCACTTGTTATAACATTTATTTGACTACCAATGCCATGAGAAAATCTTACTCCTTCAGCTGAAGGAGTAGGGATGCTTTGAACAAAGCCAACAGCAGGACCGGTGGCAAAGCTCGCGCCTGAAGTTTGACCACTGGCCAACCCTTGAGCGAAGGCGGCACCAGTACCAAGGCTTTGAGCTGCGCCAACATTTTGACCGCTGGCAAAGGCAACACCAAAAGCTGGACCACCTCCAATGTGTGGTGCAGACACGGCACCAGAAGTTGGTACGCCGATGAAACTTTGGGTAGTGTCTACATCAGGTCCACGGGCAATTATTTGACTGACGCGATTATCAGAACTGGGTCCAGCTTGGTTCTGGTAAGCTGGAAGGCTCAGAGGAAGACCGATAAATTGAGGCGAACTGCTAACGCCTCCCTGAGGAGAGGTGCCACTGGTGGCTGGAGCTGTTCCAAGTGGCTGGCTGAAGAAGGCATTTCCTATGCCAGTTTGGCTGTTCACAGGGAGGTTTTGGAACACAGTAATTGGACGACCTTGGCTGCCAGGTACAGCCTGGAGGAAAGTACCCGTGTTTTGACCGATGACTAGGTTCTGAAAATAATTTAAGTAAAAGATTAATGATGTCGATTAATACTTCAATGTTATTCAGGATGCATAAATAATTCAGGCAAAATTATTTCTTCGAAGCTTACTTGCGGTTGAAGGTACTGGCCTGTTACCGTGGTTACGAGCACAAGTAATGTTACCAGCACGGATTTCGGGCAAGCCATCTGTCAAACAAATTATTGTAATGTTATCTGCGGGTAGCAGTGAAAGGTTTATATAGTATGGGATGGAAAACCAGAGTTTTGTAGGGTTAGATTATGGGAGTTTAGTATTTAGAACTTTGGATGATAAGCAGCAAGATCATATGTAGTTTTAAATTTAAGCAAAAAATTTTTTTTTTTTTTTTTTAACTTTTACATCACGCATGTACATTAAGACATTCAGAGGGTTAATTTACAGGCGTTCGTGCGACTAAGAGTTTCAGAAGTTAAAAAACATGGAAGGGGTTAAGAATTAGGTTTCTAGAAAAATGTATAGGCGTGCAAGAATACACGACTTAACATTACTTTTAGAAACGAAATAAGTACGTTACTGAAAGTAACGAAAGTTAAGTACTTTTGTTCAAATAAATGGGAACTACAGTTATATAAATGTACATGAAAGTCACTCAAACATTTGTGAATAGTTAAAATCTTAAACTTTAATATTTTTCAGTACCCAAGCCTCAATAAATATATAACTAAAGCAAAAATAATTACACAATACCAACAAGTAAAGCACTGTTCCATGCGGTCTAATATTTATACTTGACCAAATTCATTATTTCAAACACATTAAAAACTATCACTACATAAGCCAAACCTTGAGATAATAGTCCATTCAATGTTAACCCAAGGAAGGTGAGGAGCACAGTGACCGCCTCGGTTCCGCCCAGTCCCCTCTACACCTTCACACACACTCACGCACGCACACACACGCACACACACACACACACACCACCTTTGCCGCCATCCCGATTTCTCATTTTCTTTGTCACCTAAATCCTATTTAAGGTAAATATGCACTATTTTGGGATTTGTGTTAGGTAGGGGATTTTTATTATCTATATACAATTTTTGTCCCTTATAATTTATCTGCGACTGAGAACAAGGCAAAAATGGTCTTTATACATTTGGGATTAAACAGTAGATTGGTAGGTGTTGTTTTTGTTCCCAGACTCCCATCTTCAACTATCTAATGAAACATAATGATCACATCTTCAATGTCTTGACTTTGATATATTTAGTTATACTGTCCTTGAACTTTCTCGACAGTTTTCTTCCTTAATTTATCCCAGTAAAATTTTGGTATTATATAAATAATATGTCTCATAAACCTCGAACTAAGTCCTGATATATGATTGATTGATGAAGATTAAGCCATCCCTGAGTTGGCACGGGCATGAATAGCCCGTAAATCTTAGCCCCGTATATTTGAACCCATCTCTCCTGACAATATTACTGGGGACCTCGGTCCCGTATTAATCATAATGGTGAATTTATCGGACACACTGAGCTGGACCAGCTCAGTGTGTCAATGATTTATCCAGCAAAAATAAATACACAAATAATCACCACTTTCATAATTTGTCCATTAGCTTCACACCTATGAAACGTAATATTATTTTTTAAGTTTCATTATATTGTGGCCCCATATACAAAAGTGTATTAGCTAAATAAAAAATCACCTTCCTAACGCAAATTCCCAAATAGTACATATCCACATATGGGATTTAGGTGACAAAGAAAACGAGAATTCTGAATGGCGGCAGGCAGGTGGTGTGTAAGTGTGTGTGCGTGAGTGTGAAGAAGGTGTAGAGGGGACCAGTTTGGACCGAGGTAATCAGTGTGCTCCTCACCTTACTGGGGTCAACATTTAATCGACTAGACTCTCAAGGTGTGGTTTATGTATTTATGGATTTTTTATATTTAGAGCATTACGCATTCGGTGTGGTTTATATATCATTAGAATATATGAAAGAGTCAATCATTCGTCGGTTCTGTGTAATTGTTGCATTTTAAACTTCATATGTAAAATTTGCATAATAATTTTAAACTCGATAATTGTTCAACAGTCTTGTTCAGTATTACTTCAGCTCTGCTTTATTTACATAAAGTATTACCTTCTGGTTATTAAAATAACTTAAAGCAACTTAAATCAGAGCTTCCTTCCCGGAATAATTGTTCAGACCCACATTCCCAAAGTCTTGACAAATTTCTTTCTTAAAACCCATAGAGCTCTAGCGTCTAAAACGCTGAACTTCTCATACATGCTTGTTAAATTTGTCAATCCAGTTACTTTGCATAAATATGAAATTGAAGGAAGTCTAAATTTCCTAGGCAATGCCCTAAACGTAGAATTCCTAAACGGTTCTAATAGAAAATAGGCCATAAATGTGCATTTAAACTTCCAAACTTCTTTAAGTTCAATAAAACTTATTTTATCTGCTAGCTGCAAAACTACCAAAAATAATTGAAAGAATTTTATCTAATTTCAGATGGGTTACCCAAAAACTATGCTGATAACGTTAGTTTTATTCGTAACAAGAATAAAAGGCCAGTACCAACAACCGCAAGTAAGCTTCAACTCTAGTTTTCTTGAAATGGTTTAAGCGTCTAAAATGCTGACACAATAATCTCTGGCATTTAACCTTTGTAAATAAAGTCCGGTGAATTTATTTTCAGAATCTCGTCGATCAAAACACGGGTACTCTTCTCCATGCTGTACCTGGTAGCCAAGGTCGTCCACTTCCTGTATTCCAGAATCTCCCTGGGGACAGACTGCCAGGCACAGGAAACTCTTTCAGCCATCCACTAGGAACGGCTCCAGCCACCAGCGGCACCTCCCCTCGGGGAGGTGTTGGCAGTTCGCCTCAGTTTATTGGTTTTCCTCAGAGCCTTGGTGCTTACCTCGCCCAAGGTGCACCCGCTCCTGACGAACGCTTCAGTCAGATAATTGCCCGTGGACCTGATGTAGACACTACCCAAAGTTTCATCGGTGTACCAGCTTCTGGTGCAGTGTTTGCACAGGGTATTGGAGGCAGTCCAGCTCTTGATGCTGGCTTTAGCAGCGGGCCAAGCGTTGGCGCAGCTCAAAGTTTTCGTAGTGGTGCCACCTTCGCCCAAGGCTTGGCCAGTGGTCAAATTTCAGGCGTAACCTTTGCCAGCGGTCCTGGTGTTGGCTCTGTTCAAAGCATCCCTACTGGTTCAGCTCCTAGAGCAGGATTTTCTCATGATATTGGTAGCCAAATAAATGTTATAAAAAGTGACAGGTCTAGCCAGGTTAATGTTCCTCGTGTAACTAGTGGGCCAGGAGCAAACATAATAAGGAATTTTGGCAGCCAGGAAGTTAGAAGAGTGGACGCACTCTTGACCCCAACTGTCACCCAAATTATCACCATCGACCGCTGCGTCACTGTCACCGACCAGGCCTTCAACAGCGTGGCCGTGACCCTGACTTCCTTCAGCGTGCAGACTGTCACCGTGGGAACTAGAGCGGTAAGTAGACTGTTAAACTGTCCTTGTAGAAATATTACTATCATTACTGTAGCAGATGACTTACTAAAGTGTTGTCACAGGTGTTGCAGACGCCCGTCGATGATCGCGTCGCTCTCCAGACATCGGTGTTTGTCCGGCCCGGAACCGTAACAATAACGGAGGTGAAGTCTGACTTCAGGATCGTGACTGAAACTTCCCTAACCCACGTGACCCTCGCCCACACGTCCTACGTCATCAGCCAGTACACCTTCACCACCACGGCCACTCAAGTGTAAGTTGGAAACGTTCGCATAACTTGTGTACACTTTCCCCCTCCCTCACTTTATTTGTTTCCTCTAGTTTGAGGCAAGATAGTTCCCTCAGTCATGTTGACTTCCCTGGATGACTGAAATATTATTATAGTCCTCCTCCTGGCGTCTAAGACTTCTATTTGTTGGTAGTTAAAGCACTTTAACCCACAATGCTTAATCTCTCCAAATATTGCATACACTTGGTATACGTTTGAGTTTTTGGGATGGATAGGAGTATAGGGACTATTTGGTAAACCCTGACACCGCAGTATATCTTCTTTTCCAGGTTGACGTACACGGCAACTTTGGTGCATACAAATATAAGTACCCACAGAACGACGTTCACGAATTTCCGCACAGTAACGGACACCGTATACGTCAACAGTGGCTACGGCTATCGTCAACAATAAGATGACATATTGTATTTGGTATGGTATAGTCAATAAACTAACTAGGGTTCTCCATTGCTTGAATATCCTAACTTTATTTCTCCTGCTAAAGTTTTGGACTGGGCAGTACCTTCAATTTTCTTATTTCAGTCAAATGAAAATAACCTAGTTTGCTTCAAATTAGTGTTGGCTATTGATGCCTTGCCTAAACAAATCTAATTGAAATTACATCGGTGAAAATACATAAAATTTAATATAGACTGATTAAGACCATAAGTTATGGCTGGCCACGCGTTCAACCAGTTCATTGCCTTGACCCTAAGATAGTAAAGCATAAATGGATGTTAGTAATGGTAATGCAAAGTTGTAAGTTTTGCGACCACGCAAACGGTTGCTAGAACCAGCTCCATTACCTACTATAATTGGTGGAGGGAGTAACCGTGAGCTTTAGTCTTAAATTTTAATTGCGTAAACTTTCTATTAACCAGTAAGAGCACGATGCAGTTTCTTAGGTTGACCTAAAACTTTAATGACAAACGCTGAAGTTGTCCTCTTACTTGCGCATTCAGGTGTTAGTAGCTAAAAATTGCAGGAAAATTACTTTAAAACCCAGAAACTACTTTGCCACTAACCAGAATACTCCGGAATTTGTAAATATTGCTTACTCCACCCCCTTGGAATTTAATCTTCACCAGGACAGATGTGCAATGGTAGACAACTTTGCGAATATGGACGTTTCAAACTAATAGAGGGGGAGTAGATGACTGTAGACTAATTAAGCTCTTTTGGCATTTATTTGTATTTGAAGTACGTGGTGTGAAGAATTTCAACCCATCCTCGACTAGTCCCTTACATCCAGCGGTAGACACCACAAACGCATTTATAAATTTGTACATGCTGTCGATTCAAAACGAATAGTTTTACCAAATGCCTCAACAATTATAGCGCCATAACCGTCTGGTGGTTGTTTAACGACCTTATTACAGCAGATCGAACTGTATCTTTTTAACGTGGGTTTTGTTTCATTTAACGTTCCGTGGTTAACATTTCCGCAGGTACTTGTAATTATTTAAATATCTTTCGAAATCTCTGCAGGATCTTTCACATTCTCATCATACGACTTGGTTGATCAATTAACAATTTGGACCGGATTTTCTCGGTTATAATTCCTTGCATGTATAATCTCTCGTTTCCCATTTGGAAATAATTTGATTTCGGTAGTAATTTTGTATATTTAAAATCTTTATAAAATAATGTCTGTTAGCCCAAAGTTTAAAGCCGGAAGCCTTTGCCTGGTGATGGTATTGAGGCGGATTGGGAGCGGCCTTCAGGAATTAAGTTGGTAAAATCTACGGACTCTGCCCAGAATATTTAACTGATTGTTCATTACTAATTGGTATGCATGCACGTTCTGTGACGTCGGTAGAAGATAAAATGGGAGGTATCTATGGTCCCGTTACTGAATGCAGGTACAGGTTCCGCGTCTGAACACCAGTAGGTGCCGTGAGTAAAGGCAAACCTTCGGTTGTGAAGGAATGGTTAGTACTATTGAATGCTTTGATTTTGCCAGTGTCTAATTACATACTTCGCGACGAAGACTAAACTAGTCTGGAAAGTTTAAAAAGTCTTGAAGCTTCCTTTCGTAAATGTGTTTTCCTCTTTCTTGATACAGTTGAAAATTCTTAAGTGTTTAGTAAAAAATTACTAAGATGGTTTACTCCAGCTGTCTTGCGCCCTGTGACACGCCAACCCGTCCTCATATACAAAGATCCTAGCTCGTTAATCCAGTCGCCAAACCCCATGTTTATGAATGAAAAGGTTTAAATACTCTACTGATGTCGTCCGAACACTTGGTCGGGAAGTGCTTCGCTCACGTTCTTTTCGAACCGCAAGTCTATATGTTCAGCCTAAGCGGAAAAAAATAGTAAATGAACAATCACTAAAGTCTAGGGAATCAGCACGGAATATTTAACTTACTGAATTCCTAAAGGTAGTGCAAAGAGGCCGCCTCCAACCCGCCTCTTAACACTATACAAATCACCAAGCAAAGTTCCACAAGGGTTCTGGTTTCCAACTTTGGCAAAGACATTCTATTGTATAGATAAAAAAATTTAACAAATATACAAAATTGCTACCGAAATCAAAAATTTCCAAATGGGAAATGATTGAGATCATACATGCAGTATGGAATTATCACTTACAATGAGAAAATCCGGTCCAACTTATTAATTCATCAATCAGTTCATATAATGATAATTTGAAAAATATCCTGCAGATTATTTCGAAATAAAATTTAATTTAAATAATTATGTTAAAACGATAATAAGCAAACGGTTCGTTCTGCTGGAATAAGGTCTTCAATGAATCACCAGACAATAGATGGACAATAGGTTTGGCAATATTTGGTAACGCTCTAGCCCGGAATGTGTTGTTTTTCTTGGCAAGTAAGTGACTAGCCATCTGTTCTCTACTCTTGATGGGAAAGTAATGAGGTGTGACATTTGCACGTACGTCACATGTCTGTAGTGTTCACTGATTATTCCATTTTAGTGTGCGTGTTTTGTTTGCTCAAGTTCATTACATCCAGCGGTCAACCCCACAGACGCATTCACAAATTTTAACATGCTTTTCATTCAAAACTGAAATTCTCATAATATTAGTATATTGTACATAGGTTAGGTTAGGTATTTAGGTTTTGTTGGCGATTATTTGCATGTGCGGTGCCTTTTGATAATTACTTGCATTTGTAGTACATGGGTGAAGCATTTACAGCGTTGCAGTTCGAAAAAAATTTGTCAGTGAAGCACTTGTTCCGGAAGTGTTCGAACGTCATCAGTTGCGAACCATGTGTAAAGCGTTTTTCATTCATAAACGGGAGGGTTTGGCGGGTGCATGGAATCACTTTTGAGTCTTTCTTTGGATGACGGGCTGGGTTGAGACGGCTATGGTGGTGGTCAACCCAGTGAACCTCTAGTACGTAATTATGAAAGTATGTAATTATCAAAAGAGGGCACCAAACCGGGAAGGCTATATAGCACCATCAAATGTGCGGAATAATCAGAAGTCATCCTCTTAAATCAGTTCCTTTGCTTTGCTTTAGGAACCTCCTGACAAACGTTGTCTTGAGAATTTTCCGCTGTGGGATACGAACCCATAAAGTAGGCTTATCTGACGCGAGCCAGGACCAGGGAGCGGCAGGTAATGCCAGGGGTAAGAGCCTTGAGCAAGTTTTAATTGGCCAGTCTAGTTTTTATTGCCCCGCTTTTCATTACAGCTTTCCATTGCCCCGCTTCACGCTTATCCTTTACTGATAAGACAATTTAAGGTGCTCCGGCGACACGTTCATAAGAGCCATAATGGGTCAGGGAAATGTTAAGTCTTTACTGTTGTTAACTGGTCTAAGTTTAGTTGAGGTATGATCGTCTTTTCAGTGAGGAATTTAAATCTAGTAATTTCTTTACCTTAAACTCTCATAAGTATCCAAATGAATTTGAGACAAGAGCAATATGATGGTAACTTTTGAAAAGGGAGGCTGCTCCTGGGAGGAGCAGCCTCTTGGTATAATTCTTAACCTTTGGTACCCCATTCCGTTTCACCAAAACATTTTTCGAACCAGTGTATAAATCAGAGCAACAGCTGTGAAATCGATAAGAAGCTCCCCTAAATTAGGGCGACAAGGACCCAAGCATGAGCTCTGGTTGTGAGAGATTTATCTTTTTCCAGGATGCAGAGCGGCACGTGGAACTTTAGCGACGTTGTAGCCAAGCTATTTTGTAGCTACTTTACCCTTTAACTGCGGGGATGGAGAGGTTATGCCAAAGACTTCCCCCCCCCCCCCCCCTGCTAGCGAAGGTCTTAAGAATACCCGCTTGTTACCTAACATTTTAATTTCCTTCAGGAATCAATCGGGATAAAGGAATTAATGTTATTTACTGTAAGTGTTTTAAAAAGGCGTCGGCATTGTAAGCAAGGTGTTAGAATGCGGAACACTGGCAAGTGAGTCATTAATACAAAAGTTTTGTTACAACATCAAAAACAGCACGTAAATCCTTCAAGTAGTTTGAAGAAACTTCAATGTTTTGTTTACCACTATAGTGCATTTAGACCATTTAAGAAATGGTTATGGAAAGTAATCACCTTTATGAACAATTATAACATTTACAGAAATATATAGGTCAGGAGTTATTAACCTGGCTTATGGGGAGGGTAAATAACCACTCTGGAATAGTTGGCATTTTAATTTTGACAAAACTTCATACCCAAAGTAACAACGCTTTCACCAGGTGAAGGCATTTTTTTTAAGTAGTGTACATAATATGCAACAAAACTTTGAACGTTTAAGATCATGAAGCTACTTTTATCGTTAGATGCAGGTCGTTCCTGGGCAATGAAGATTATGTTTCTACAAACTGCAGGCTACGATTAGCTATAGCCCAAGGGAGAGTCGAGGAATGTAATACCGCTGGAAGGCTACTGCGTTCGATAACCATACCCACTATTGACGTAGACAGTGTCGGTCAGCGTGCGATAGTCCGTCAAAGTAGTTCTTTGGGTACTTATGTTCGTCCGCACCAAAGTTGTCGAGAGCGTCACACTGGAAAAATATAAAACGGTAGAAAAAAGTTTTAGTGAAGAGTTATGAGGACAACCCCTCCCTGTCTACACATTTGTTGCACTTCACAGGAACAGAAGTTTACTTACACCTGGGTGGCAGTGGTTGTAAAGGTGGACTGCACGATGACATACGAGGTATGGGCAAGCGTTACACGGTCCAAAGACACTTCAGTAACGATTCTGAAGTCAGATTTCACAGACGTTACCGTTAAAGATGTCGGTTTGTAAACTAATACAGTTTGTAGAGCCACGCGGTCGTCCACGGGAGTCTGTAGGATCTGTAAAAAAAGGTTTACAGTGTATACCAAGGATCAAAATAAAGGAATTAACTAGTTTCATGTCTTATAAGTATTTTAAAAGACTCACCGCGCGTGTTCCGGCCGTGACCGTGTGCACGTTAAGTGAAGTTAGCGTCACGGGCACGCTGTTGAAGGCCTGGTCGGTGACAGTGATGCAGCGGTCGATGGTGACAAACTGAGTGACAGTGGGGACGTAGGGACTGTCTACTCTGACGACACGAGGGCTGCTGTACCTTCCACCAGCGTAAGGAGGAGACCCAGCTGTGTCGCCAACCGTGACCTGTGGTCCGCTCTGAGGAGCCGGCCCAGAACCGACACTCTGCTCGGGTGCACTGGTGGTAGACGAAGCTGGGAACGAGCTATCGCCGAGAACTGCAACTCTAGGAGTATTAGCACCCTTAAGGAGGGAGCCAAGATCAAGCAAGTTACCTTCGGGCCCTTTGGTCTTTATAGGGATCGTTCTGGCCACACCCAAGATTGTAGCAAGAGTGGCAGTAGGAGGTAAAGTGCTGGTTTGTGTGGCGTTAGACGTTCCTATGATGTAACCCTGAGGGAAGCGTTTTGGTTTCTAATAAAAGTAATCAAATTATAAATTTAATAATTCCATTAACTTTCCTAATGTCTTAAAATACTTTGAGTGAAGACTTGCCAGTACTCTATCTCTGGAAGTTATGGAAGTCAAAGTACAAAAAAGTCTTCACATATGCAAATGGTATTAGCAATGTCAACCTTTAAGTTGACCGAAGGATGAAAGATTAAGATGAATCAAAGCAAAGTAATTTATCACCTGAACAGTTCCAAGCTGCAAGGATGAGAGCGCCACGAGAAGCATAGTCAGGGTCGCTGACGGACACATCTGTTAAAAGTAGACATTTATCGACAAATGCATTGTAAAATTTTACTAGTCACCATTGCAGTAACTAGAGAAATGGGGGTGTAAATCAAATGCAAAACCTTCGGTGAATCACAGACTTCCCCCCCCCCCCAATATCTAGGTTAAGATTTCAGGAACCCTAATGTACAGTATGGAAAAGTTTGGGGACACCGCTAGCAGGGGTATAAGAGATTATGAATCGTGCCGGTAACAAACGTGTCACCGGCTCTTTGAAAACCATGAACTATAGGGAAATTTTTAGTATTTCCCAACAAGACTTTACTATAAGAATTTCAAGCTTTGAACGGAGGGGGGGGGGAAAGACTAGTGAAGGGCATAGGTGGTACTACCGAGGAAAGAAAAAGTTATGAACGTTAGAAAAAATAAAGCTATATGAACTAAAACTTCGCTACTGATAGCGAATTTTACTACTACCAATGAAAGTAGAAGACTCCTTCGCCTCATGTCAAGCATTTTCCTGAAAAGTATATAAACGAGTGCATCAATTAGTTCCCATAACGGATTGAAGGGGAAAGGGGGGGGGGGGGGGAGGAGTTTGAAGGGTTAACAATCTATGTTTAATTTCAAAAACATTTCCCCTTTCAAATTATTAGTTTGAAATTTCGTTTCTATGGTTTTATTGAAGTAATGCCTAAAGCAAATTATGTAATTTAATCCCTTTTAAATTGTGTCCAAAGCGATCAGAGACCATCTGAAGTAATTCTAAACTACACCAGAATCCGAGCATTAATATATTTTATTTGAAGGGAGGGGGGGGGGGGGTGAAGAAATTATGGAAATAGCAACATTCCAGGAATGTTACATAAAATAACATTCCGAAAAATCTTTCCAAAAGTCAGTCAGGTATACGGATATTGTCTGTACAAGTTGGGCGCTTCCTTACTAGCTTGGAAGAGAAAAAAAAAATCTTCAGTATTTATAGATTTCAGAATATTATCAAGTTAAAAATCTAAACCAACCAAATACTGAAGTTCTGGAAAGTGCTAAATTAACCATAAGAGTCGGTATATCAAGGAATTAATACAAACCCCTTTCCTAACGCCCAACATAAAAAACTCTTACCTTCCCAACGTTCGTACGATAACAAATACTAAATATGTTATGCCAACAGCGTTCAACAGTACAATGAGCGACCACAGCCCGCACTCCTGACGACAACATCTACCCCGTTCCCCTACACTACCCTGCCCACCTCTCAAAAGGTCGTTTTCTGCTTGTCAGACAACCCGTCCACGACTCAAGGCCATTACATCCAGTGGTCGACCCCACAGACGCATTCATAAATTTTTACATATTGTTCATTCAAAACGAGAATTTTCATAAATATAAATTATTATTATAATATATTAGCATATTGTGCATATATAGGTTAGGTTAGGTTTGGCTAGGTGTTTAGGTTCTGTTGGCGATTATATATATTTGTAGTACGTAGGTGAAGCATTTACAGCGTTGTGGTTCGAATAAAATTCGCCAGTGAAGCACTTGTTCCGGAAGTGTTCGAACGAAATCAGTCATGAGTCGTGTGTAAACCGTTTTTCATTCATAAACTGGGAGTTTGGATGGTACATGGGATCAATTTTGGGTGTTTGTTTGGAGGATGGGTTGAGGATGGGACGGGAGAAAGGAGTGGAAAAGAATGGAAAGGACCGGTCGAAGATTGAGGGCCGACCTGCTAGAAACAAGAGCGTCGCTCTACCATCCAGGCCAAGTGGTTGGGTAGTCTCTGTAACATTTATTACTATATAATAACTGAAGAAAATTACTCTTCCATCAGAACTTTTTAAAATTTGCTGTTGTATTTTGGTACGTTTGAACGAAGCTTCCTTAAACTAAACTTTCACCGTATTACAATTATTTTCTCATAATTGCATTTTTTCGAGCATTGGTCTAATTTTCCCAATTTTATATTTTGCTCGATGCGAGATCAATTAATTTTTTTCATAGGCATTTATTGTAAATTATAATATATTCGTCTTATAAAACGAATGAGTTTAGCCTTCTGAAGTTGAAAATAAAATAATTCGTTTTGTCAGGGACAGACACTATTATATATATATATATATATATATATATATATATATATATATATATATATATATATATATATATATATATATATATATATATATATATTTATATATATATATATATATATATATTTATATACATACATACCCGGTAGAATCATTTCGAGGTTCACCTCGATCGAACTACCGACCCTCGACTATGCATCCCCGCAACTGTTGATTTATTTACACACAACTGCAAGCTTATTTGCTGCTAAGTGAACAGAGACATTAAATGCTAAACTATTTCTGTCTAACCCGGGATTTCAACCCAGTATTATTTGGAGTCGAGAACTAACCTAACTATACTAACTAAGAGTGGCGATATGATGCCTAACCTCAAACTCAATCATTAGAACTCAAAAGTAACTGAAACTAAAGTTAATCCTCGTTTAAACCATACGAGGCAGCTCGTATTTATATCCACCCAAACTCATTTATATATGTCTACCCTACGCATGAAACAAATCAATCGTTCCCTCGTTTTTATATAAGTAACACAAAGTAGAATATTTAACCCTAGAATCACCATTTATATCCAGCACAAGGACTAAAAGCAAGGATGTATCCAGATAAATAGGGTCGATCATACGTTCAAAATTGGGAAGCAATGAAAATAGGTCACAGCCAACACATTTGAAATTGTTCGAGAAATCCTGCAAAATTCTTTGAAATACTTATGAAGAGGGGGGAGAAATCCAGAAATAAACCGGTAAATAAAAATTCCGACACGATCTGAAAACCCTATGAAACACTGTTTTACATAACAAAAGACAAGGATTCTGTTAGTTATATAAACGAGAACAAACTATATGTCTTTGAAACTACCTAAATACATAATTTGGGATCCCGAAAATATGTGAAAACTAATTTGAAACTTCCTGGCTAAAGAACCCAATAAACTATTCCTTAAACGTGTGATCAGCCATCAATACAGACTGAAATAAATACTAACGTTTACAGTATGAACTAAAAACCATACGACAGCTTACCATGGGAACGATAACTTCCAGGTATGACAGGGTTACCATAAAGTATACGGAACCGTATACGTCCTGACGCAGAGAAAACGTGAACTACCTGAAGCAAATTATGTAGGCACTGTATTCTACCTAAACTAAAATATGCAGGCACTGTATTTTACCTAAACTAAAATATGCAGGCACTGTATTTTACCTAAACTAAAATATGCAGGCACTGTATTTTACCTAAACTAAAATATGCAGGCACTGTATTCTACCTAAACTAAAATATGCAAGCACTGTATTCTACCTAAACTAAAATATGCAGGCACTGTATTCTACCTAAACTAAAATATAATGAATTGTATACTACCTGAACCAAAGAATACAGCTGCAGCTTATAGTATCAGGCAGAAGATATATATATATAGGAGCTGAATAATATCTAACGGATCTATATAGTAAATAACAAAACATACAATTTAATATAAATTAATGTAATCTGATCAACCGTAACCTAGAAGAAGAAGAAACGGGAATACCTGAAGTTAATGGACCAAATGGACAAAATAAACCAGGAATAACAGAAAAGAGAGAACTGACCAAGGGGACGAAACAGAAGCAGGATGGCCTCAACCCAGCTCAAGATTAACTAGTCATAAAGGTCAAAACTCAAAAATTCATTACGTTACTGACGAATAACAACACTATTATGAACTATACTATACAACACTTATGAACTATACGTACATATATATGTATAGATCATGGACCCCTTCCATGAACTATATATATATGTACGGTAGATTCATTTCGAGTCTACCGTAGAATCAAAATCACTATCGAGTCAATAAAATAAAAAGACTTTAGTCTTTTCCTCCCAAGGCGAGGAAGAAATAATGGAATTAAGAGCAAAACAGTAAAGTTACAGAAAAAATCATTAACCGTTATTTTTTTTTTTACATGCCAAAGTGTCTACATATATACAATTTATGAATACAATTATCAAACAAACAAAACTACATATATACAATAAATAATTTTACTGTGTACATAAATACAATAAAATAAAAGGCACCGAAGCACCCCAGAACACAAAACACCGAACAACTACATCACAAAATCATCACAAGTACAGGAGAACACTTAAAGTACACAGAAGTACAACAGAAATAATGACAAAAGTGCATAACACCATCACCGAACACGGGCACAAATCACGAGTACAAAAACAGTAGAACACATACACCCCAAGGCAAGTCCTACAGGTATTTACGCAGAAACGCAGCCTTAGCATACCGCAGACGGTACGCTTCCCAGAGCCCCCAATCCCATTTGTCAAGGCGAACACCGGGCGGCGGCGGCGGCACAGGGCGTTGCTTAAACTCCGGAATCACGTAGAAGAAAGCCCTCTCGCGCTCCACCCACACAGGAGGCAGAGACAAGGGGTCCGGCAGCACACTGACCTGATCCCTCGGCGGCCGCCGTCACTCCAGAGGCCGAATACTCCCGAGCACTGTCTGCTGGGCCGCGATATGACGTGAACGAGCGTCCGTACGTATATATATATATTTGGGTTGTGCAGTAATATCAAAGTACCCCAATGGCCGGGAAGATCCTGTAGCACCTTCTGGATGGCTTCGAACGACGCTAAATATCACTCAAAGTGCCAATACGAGAACACGCAGAGAACATCAAAAGTTGTTGGATTTGCCAAAGTTTCGAACGGGACAAAAGACACCTATAGGGACGTCAGGAAACCAAGGCACTATCCTGAAAATAGGGGCATAGTACAAGGACATCCATGGCAAAGTTGGTACAACGAACAGTTAGGGAGAAATGAATATTCCTGTCACTTACACCACTTTCAGTTAATTTGCCTAAATACCAGATATTTTCACATCGCAAGCAACGTTGACCTTTAATCATTCCGACCAGAATTGCTCTTATTCTGCTTTCTTACCTGAAAGCTAATGAGTTTCTTTACGGCTATTAGTCAGGCGTCAAGTTAAAACTATAACTTGCATAAATACTCTTGCTATACACCCGTTTAAGAAATACTTCAAACGTAGCCACTCACTAAAAGCAAGAGTGACGTCACACGGTGGAACAATCCAAGGGAACTATTCAAGAGTTGCTGCGGTTCGACGTCGAATACGTCATCTCCCACTTCATCCCTGAATATACGTTGGCCGACTGCGTCGCTCCTAAGGAGGCGATGGGAATATCCAACCGAAACGTTAATTCAACGTAGAATTAACGTTGAACTTTAGTTCTACCTCGAGGAAGTGAAATCTTACCTGCAAACCTAAAGACGAATTCATGAGATTATGAATTAAATATTCCATAGTGGAACGACGCACCACTTTTGTATTAAAAATAATAATATTATTAAATGGAGCAAGCTCTTTTGGATAAGAATTAATATCTACATCAGCTCTTGCCGATCCCGATTGAATTAAGGAGCCTAATTGTGCCAATTTGAAATGGAACTTTATGCTTATTCCATTTCCAGTGTATTTTTAATTAAAATATTTAGATATATATATTATATATATATGTATGTATATATATATAATATATAGAGATACATAAAATATACACAAGCTTTTTCATTTCTTACATGTACAGTCACTAGAACTTATAGCGTTGCGGGCAAGTCTTTAATTCTATGTTCCCAGAATAGGACCCCGCCAAATTCTAACCAGGTACCCATTTTACTATTTGGGGTAAACACAGGCTGTAGTCAAGGATTAGTTGTACAGATAGGATCTTTACTGTACAGATACTTTTTGCCAGACTTTTGGCAAGTACTTTGCCAGACAAGCAAACTTTTTTAAAAGACCTCTTTACAAACTTGTTTGATCAGGAAAATACTAATCACATTTAGAGACACGTAGAAGAGCACATGTAGTACAAAGCTTTGGAAAGTCAGCGCTTCGTGACTGAAGAACAGTTTGTCTATTTGAAGAAACAAGATAAACTCTTAAAGTGGGCGGGGTATTATGTGGCAAGCGTGTTTCATGTATTTTTTTTTAATAATCCCGATATAGATAGCGGGCAAGGGCCTTGTTAAGGCTTCAACTAAATTAAAATGTTTGTCAATTGTTATGACCCAAGAGCTTCCCAAGAGGGTGGGGGAAAGGAAAGACTAGGAAAGTGGAAAAAATTTATTACGAGTCACTCGAAGTTCAGAGAATTGTCATAATGACAGTGGTACTCTTAACTTTAAGAACGGTCAAGATTAAGAAAATGCGGCTATCGTGCCCTGTAGCCGTAGCCGCTGTTAACGAAGACAGTGTCGGTGACAGTCCGGTAGTTTGTGATGGTAGCCCTCTGGGTGCTGATGTTTGTACGCACCAAAGTCGCCGTATAGGATATCCTGAAATTAAAAGGTACTTAGTCCTGTGCTGCAATTATTCTAATAATTATGGAAACTAAAATGCTATAACGTTATACTTAATCTGGAAATTTTTTTGTTTACAGTACAAGCTTTACCTGAAGGGGCTTTAGCAGCAGTGTTCAGGTTTAATATGAACTGCGATAAAAATGAATATTTAACTTACACTTGGGTGGCCGTGGTGGTGAAGGTGTACTGGCTGATGACGTAGGACGTGTGGGCGAGGGTCACGTGGGTTAGAGAAGTTTCAGTCACGATCCTGAAGTCAGACTTCACCTCCGTTAATGTTACGGTCCCGGGCCGGACAAACACCGATGTCTGGAGAGCGACGCGATCATCGACAGGCGTCTGCAGCACCTGTGACGAAAGTAAATATCAGAAGAAGGCACCAAGCCGGAAAGGCTATTAAGTACGTGATGTAACAGTTACATTAACTGCCTCCAGTATTTATCTTACCAGGAAACCACTTACCAGGCGTGTTCCCACGGTAACAGTCTGCACGTTAAAGGAAGTCAGGGTCACGGCCACGCTGTTGAAGGCCTGGTCGGTGACAGTGACACAGCGGTCGATGGTGATAACTTGGGTGACAGTTGGGGTGAGGAGTGCGTCCACTCTTCTAACTTGAGGAGTACCAATAGTCCTAATAATGTTAACACCTGATCCACTGGTCACACGAGGAACAGTTACTTGGCTAAACTGACCGCTACCCACGCCCTGACCGAAGACCGCCCCAGACGCCTGACCGCTGCCTACGCCCTGACCGAATACCACCCCAGACGCCTGACCGCTGCCTACGCCCTGGCCAAAGACCGCCCTAGACGCCTGACTGCTGCCTACACCCTGGCCAAAGACCGCCCCAGACGCCTGACCGCTGCCTACGCCCTGGCCAAAGACTGGTCCAAATACATGCCCGTTACTAATGTCTTGAGGAAAGACGGGGCCGGATGGGCCAGTTAGAATAATGGGAGGCGACTGACTTATGGCAACATCCTGGCCAAGGTGACCCGTCTTGCCCAAGGACCCGAGACCATTTGTAGGTAAATTGTGTGGACCAACGAGTGGGTTAGGAAACCGTGCATCATGTATGTTGTTGCCGAGAGTAGATCTCTCAGGTACGGAGAGATTAGGGATCTGGAAAATTAAAAATACGTTAAGACAAGCAAATGTCAACATTCCATCCGATTCAATATATATATATATATATATATATATATATATATCGTACCTAGTAGCCAGAATGCACTTCTCAGCCTACTATGCAAGGCCCAATTTGCCTAATAAGCCAAGTTTTCATGAATTAAGTTTTTCGACTACCTAACCTACCTAACCTAACTTTTTCTGCTACCTAACCTATAAAGATAGGTAGGGTTGGTTAGGTTCAGTCATATATCTACGTTAATTTTAACTCCCATAAAAAAATATTGACCTCATACATAATGAAATGGGTAGTTTTATCATTTCATAAGAAAAATGAGAAGATATTAATTCATAAAAACTGCTTATTAGTCAAATCGGGCCTTGCATAGTAGGCCGAGAAGTGCATTCTGGCTACGACATAATATATATATATATATATTAATCATGCTGCTCTAGCATGATTATTTGTCCATTAAGTTTAGATTTAGGAAATTTATAAATTTAGAAGGAAAATTTCTATTCAGTTCCTTAAGGTATTATGATATTCAAGACTTACTTGAACTGGCCTGTACTGGGCTGACACATTGACTACAAATAGAAACAACGCTCCCAAGATTGCAGTGAACATCGCCATCTGTAAAGACCCAAGTGTATGTTACAATTAAACACGTATTCTCAAGTTGCATTAACAAAATGTAAACAGACAACGAGCATTCGGTACAACAATTTTCCTAAATGCAAAAAGGAAACGCATCACCTTTAAACAGCAGGGAAGTTGATGTTTACTCAGTGAAGGTCAGGAGGCAACTGACTACTCCAGTCCCCGCTGCCTACGTCAACACCTCCCTCACACCAGGGAGGGTTACCACCTCGTCGCTAACCTCGATATTACGACACATTGCTACATACAAGGTCATGATTACATGCCCTCCATGCTGTGCTGTAATGCTGACCTTAGGCTACATGACATGTAATATTATATTTATTAAATTATATTTACTAATTAAAAAGTCACCACGAGTAGATTTAATTTTACTAATTAAAATGTAATAATATTTTTGTAATTTCTATATTTCGAGTGAGAACGAAACTAACTGACGACTATATACCGAGTATTGACAGTTAATATTAGGTATTATGGACTGTCATATCGTTCAGACACAGACTGGCAGTTATCGTTGACGTGACACTATCCGAACACTCATTAAGACAGGTAAAGCCTTGCACAATGAAATCGTATTAACGTGGTGTATCAATGAGAAAATTAGTACGAGCCACTTTGATGTTATTTCATTGGTCATTTGAAGAGAAGTGTTGGAGGTAGAACTCCTTGATCACAGCCAGAGTGCATGGGGGGGGGGGTTTAATGAGTGAAGCCCCTGATTGGGTTTCAGTGGAAGCCTCAGGACCTCCAGAGGATTCAGTTGAATTCCAGGTTGTATTGTTTTTTATCATGTTGTGGTGTAGTGGTCTAGTGCGGGGGTTTGGGAGTACCAAGTGTGCGGGGTTCGAATCCTCCTCATGGTGACTTATAGGTAAAGGCCTGATAGCAATCTTAACAATGGGGCTGCCTGGTTCTCATTCATATATAATGTATTATGTAAATACTTCCTATATCAACGTAGACTCAAAATGTTCAGGCAGTATGAAGTAATATTTTCACAATGTCAAAGCAGTAGGCTCAGAATATCCAAGTGGTTGCCTCAAATTTTCCAAACAATGCTCACAACGTTCAAGCAAGAAGCTCTCAATACTCATGTCCTAAAAAATAAAAATATTAGCGGAAGAAAATACATTCATCCCGTCAAAAGAGATGATTAGCCATCAATATTGCAAGGCTGAGTTACACCGTGACCGAGTTGACAACGCAGATTATTCCAGTTATGTTCACGATTCTGAACATGTTCAGTGTCAGACCCAGGTGCAGGGGTTCTCTTATACCACATCTATTAACATATGGTATATCTTAAGAAATATTCCTTGGTGATATTTAGCGCCCTCTGATTATTCCGCACATATGATGATGCTACAAAGCCTTCCAGGTTTGGTGCCTACTTTTTGATAATTACTCATTCTTGCTTCCTACAGGTTTTCGCATGGAAACATTTTACGAAATTTCCTGCCACATTATAATACTCATCAATCTTCATTTAAACAGTTTATATACCCAGACTGATGGTATTTTGTATTTGTGCCTGCAGGAACAAGCTGTTAACTTTGGGTTAGAAAGGCGGAGTCAAAGTTGCCTAATGTACTGACGCATTACGTATTTTCCCCTTTCATATCCTCAACATATATTTAACATTTTCTAAGGATAAAATCCGTAGCAGCTGTAACTCCTAGGCACCTATTTACTGCTAGACGAGTAGGGTATCAGTCGAAAAGATACCCACTTATTTACCTCTACCGGGACTAACCCAGGATCTTAGGATTGCGACCCCCGAGCGCTATCTACTCAGCTAAGCACTATATCCACAAACATCCATGTTACCTACAAACTCGTGCACGATAGCTGCAGAACTTCATTAAGATTTTGACCCAATGACTTGTGTAAACACTTGTAAAGAGAGGTCTAACCAATGACCTAAAAATTTAAACCTGTTCGCGTCTGCCGTAAGAAAGTTTGCACAGGCGCCGTGAACAACGAGGTGCTTCAAGATGAAATATTAGTCATTTACTAGAGTCCTTTAGATCAAATTAAGACCATTAGTACATTAGTAAGTTTATACTAGCAGTGGGTTCCAGCGTGAAGTAGATGAATACGTCTTTAGACCGATGGATACCTACTACTATTGTCCCCTGAAGTTAATTTCCCAACCACACATGGCAAGTGCGCGCCTGTACATTGGGAGGGTGGGGGGGGGGGGGGGTGGGGCTCTTCAAAGACTCATGATGTACGTAAAGTTTTAAACCAGCAACGTTGACAAGCACGAGTAACCAAGAATACGCACCTCCGGGAGTTTCAAATCTGCATCGGTACAAAATATTTTGTTTACCAAACCACACTAGATAGTGAGGGGACGAAGTTTCGGTCCGTTCTGGACATCTGGATTGTGAAAATCTGCTAGAGAATGGTCCAGGACGGACCGAAACATTGTCATCTTTACTTTCTAATCTGTAGTTTGGTCAACATTTCAACCACGTTATTGCAACTCTTCGTCTGCAAAATCTTTTCTTTACTGCCAGAGTTTGGTAACAAAAGTTTAATTTTTGAACCGTTATCCAAGTCGAGTCCCTGGTTCACGAATATTAAGTACAGGTCCCAGACCAGTCATGATTATTAGAATAAAGGAGTGGGTTAAGGAGTTATATCACGTCCCCCTAGTTTTGACTACTGCATCACACTAGTTTGCATTTTTAACCACTAGCCTCTTGTGGCTGGCATTGATATCTAGAGATGGCGTGCGCCTTAACCCTCCGACTGACTTTGCGTAACCTCATTTTGGCTACATTCTTTAACCAGTTACTTTCTTGGAAGCAAGGATTTCCATAATACATCTTACTCTTCAATCTTTTATTGTAAAGTTCAGATACATGGTTTTCAAACTAGTATGCAATGTCTTTGGAGGGTCACATTATGCGTAGTATCTGGCAGTGGTGGAGGTAACCGTGGTTGTCACTATCTGGGTGACTGTAGTAACAATATCTTGTACTAGTTCTTGTGTAGTCACCACAGGTACAGTCTGGATCTGTAATTCAGATAAACCATTAGCAGCAATAAATTTTAGTTACGATGGGTAATTTGTAGTAAATAAAACAAGCCTCCTGTGTTACCTCGTGAGTGACAGCGACGTGGGTTATAGTCTGCCAGTATTTAACAGTATCTGTGGTGGTGACGAACTGACTGTAGATGGACACCATTGTGCTCACTGGGTTAACCCCCACCGTAGCCGTCTCAATCACTACCGGTGTGGAGGTGACCCTTATCACAGAGGTCACCGTCTGTGGATACTGGGGAACAAAGTCCCATTGGGTGGTTGTCTGGGTGACTGTCAGGGTGATCGCCGTCTGCTCTGTAACCCACACGTCAGAGGTCGTCGTCTCCCGCAGAGTGTGGGTCAGGGTTGTCTGGAGAGAACCAGTCAAGTTAAACAGACAGCCAGTTTAAAAATTATATTATGTATACTATATATGTAGACAAATATTGAAATACTACGTACCTGAACAGTGACTGTAGAAGTTGTTGGAGTGACGACTGGGAGGGGCGCGTGGGTGCCGTAAGGGACGAACCCCTGACCCTGGATCTATGGTGGAAGAGCATCAAAACATTAACATTCATTATGTGTGGTAGACTATTGTATTTGACTAATACTATGGTTCTTACCTGAGAGACCAGGCAGAGAACGGAAAGTAGTGCAAGTGCAGCCATCTGAAATTATAATTAATGTCAGCAGTTTGTATTTAGAAAGCTTAAAGGGATTTATTTTTAACTAGTAAATGTCAAGGCTTAATTACTAGCTAAATTAGTGCATCAGGCAATGTGAACGTTCCGAGGTCACAGTACGGGCATATTTAACGCTATATTTACTTTATAGCAAAAGAACTTTTACTATAAGCAGTAGTTAAAGCATTGTATTTAAGTTTTGGCGTAGCTAACTTGCGTACACTGGTACACTATGCATTAGTTAAAAACTTAAAAAAGCACTATTAGCATTTATTTTGCCATTGTTTCTAGCTCAATGTGATAATGGTTATATGACAAGACTTCACGTCTGAGCTTGAGCGGTGGGCTGGTTTTAAATCTATAGCATGTGATTTAGTGTGTACTAGTACAAACTAGCGTGTGTCTAGGTAAAGTTTCGAGGATGAAAATTTTATTGCCCTTTTAGTTAAATTAATATAGTTTAATAAAAGTACGTACGCAATTTCTTAGGTAACCCTAGCGTTTTAGACACTAGGGGTTGCGACAATGCAGTTTTAAAAGTCCAAGCTTTTAAGACAATCTTAGAAAGGTATGCTATTTAACCATGAGAGGGGAAGGGGGTACCTGGGTGTACGTTTTCCCCTTTAACTTATGTTTAGTTAAACCTGCATGTTTGGTGTAATAGTATGAAACTTTCACCCTGGGAACGGCCATTAAAACATTCGAGCACTTTTAGAATCAAGTTTGAATTAAAGCCTATTAGTTTAAGTCTGCCTATTAAGGTATTACTTTTAGCAGTTAATACCTACTACAAATAAGGTGAAACACTAAAGCAAGTATATTTAGTATATTTATATTTGTCTAAACTTAAGATTCTTAAAGAGTAATTTCAAAAGGTTACGATTAGCATGATTAACTAGCCGCCTTTACTAGGAAGAGCTAGATCATACCATGAAACTTCCCTATCGACTTAAAGTACCAGTTAAGATGTGAACGTTTATATAATAGTTGACAACCTAAGTTTTTAATGGTACCACTATTTAGTTATGAAAAACTCCTTCAAAGCCATAAACTTTTTTTCTAGACATTACTTACAAAAATAAGTTTTTAAAGCTATTTTAAACGATTTACCAATATGGCTAAATAGCCATTACATTATAAAACTATTCGAAATGCTCAACCACATACAACAATGAACTATTAACTAACCTTTAAGCTAGAAGTCAAAGTTGCTTTACCAACCGCAGGGAACACACTGACAACTGCACGGCAGAAGGCCACCTTGTTGCCTCTCCCTCACCTGGAATGGTTGCCTTCTGAACGATTAGGATGCCTACTAAATTAGCGCCATCTGTTGTCCAGAGAATACCCTACAGTTGTTATTGGAAGAGAGAAAGGAACGAGGGAAGGGAGAAGATCTTACATTTCGTTTTTGATTTATTGATTTTCATAAAATCACTGGTTTTTCATCTTTTTACAAAATTAGCTTTCAGTAATTTGTTTACACTAATGATTGCAAAAGCATTCAGCATAAATAACAACTGTAAGACGTGTATGGGCAAAAATAATAGTTAAAAAACTAAATCTTTAATTTGTTGTATATTAGAGTAGATTACATGGATAAAAGCGAAATTATATAAGAGAAACATTGTACATAATGTCATCATCATCAGAAGATTAAGGAGCTGACTAGTATTAGACTCGCTTTTAACACTGAGTTCATGTAATAGGATTGTTACTTCGACAGATCAGACCCACTTTGAACAAACAGTTCATGACTTCGAGAGGATCTAGAGTAGTTTTCAGCAAAGCCATTTGTTTGTGACAAGAACTGTGCAATAAACTCCTGTAACCAGCGAGGAATACCTATAGTTAATATACACATTAACCGACTACCAATAGATCACATATTTTGTTTCATTATCGGTTAATTTGTCTTTGGGATTTTTGTATGCAGCGAATAATTAACACGGAAAAAAATCTGTTGTTTTTCCTGACAGTTTTATCAAAGTCTAAGTTATATTTTTAGTAATTTGTGATAACTCGGAGAATAATTTAATGTTTTATACTTTTCACACAGAGATCACACTAACGTGATGCATCAAATGAAAAAATCCACAAGGGCCGCGACGAGGATTCGTTCATTTAGTGTTTTTCTTGGTATAGTTTACGATTCCATTATTTCCGTATCCCCGATGGGATATATACACAGAGGTGTATCCCACTGCTTAGCGGCATGTTCCGGTGTATATTCACAGTGTTTACGACTTTAATATGCTTACTAGTTTTAAAGTTAACTGTTGCCGTGGTCTTAATAACCTTCCAGAGATTGATAGGCCTTAAACTCAACACTAAACGATGACTTACACTCACTACGGATAACGTAATATTACTATACCTGACAGTAACTGACAATATTTCACAATATCAAACAATACCTGACAATACTTGGTAAAATATTTCGAAACCTTTAAATACAAATAATTTGACATTTAGATGATTATGAGAGACTTAAACTACACTCCAGGAGATGAGGATACGACGACGTTTCGGTCCATCCTGGACCAGAATCGACTTATTAATTACTCTGGACAGGCTGAAACGTCGTCGTCTCATCATGTGTTGTGGGGTTTAGTCTTCATATCTTCATCCACATCATTGCGACTCATCGTCTGCACTTAGATGATTATAATCCGAGGATTAATTCTCACTTCTAAATAATTTACTTTGCTGTGGCCTTGGCTTATCTATGTTGGTCTTATCCTATGGTTTCTGGGTTGGAGTTGGTTAAAGCTACGTGCCTTGGGATTTAACTAAAGTTATGTCTGGTAACGAAATTCATGTAACCATATTTTAGCGCTGTAATTAAATTTCCAGCAATATTCGAGCTACAGTTACGCAATAAAGTCTGCCAAACTAACGTCATAAATTAGATATTTTATAACTAGAACCACTAGTAAATAATATATTTAATTTTACCGAGGATTTCCAGTTTTCTCTTCCGCCGTGTGAAATAAGAGGCTTTCGGTTATACGTAGTCAGACTTGTGTTCCTACGTTCAGTTCTATAATCGCAATATGAACATCTCTTATAGAGCTTGTTATTTCTTGTTAAAGTCAAGAGAATTAGTCAATGTATATTCAACTGCTAGAGTAAAATTGCGTTTAATGTTCCTGTTATGATTAAATAAAAATCTTGTAAACATTACACTAATTATAAAATGTTAGAAATGATTATAAATTAATAAAATAACCGTATTACAAAACTTTCGATTTGTTAACTTAGTACCTGTAAAATCTTAATCTATGATAAAGAATGTGTCCCAAGATAGGTCAGACGCTTGCAGATAGTTCCATACAAGACAAAACATTGCCTTTAAGAATTATTGCTTGCGACATGTCAAAGTGATAGTTTTCCCCTAATTCTTCCATTTCCTAACGTTTAACATGTATGGATTTTTTTGTACTTTTATGACTTATCACCGTCTTCGATTTGACGTTCTTGAAAGCTGAACTTTTATAGACAACTTATCTTCGCGTCATTGTTGGCAAAACTGTTGATAATTAGTGTTAATCATTTCTTTAGCCGGAATAAAAACCACTGCTACACAACGTTAAAAAAAAAAAACTTACATTAGGTATAGAAAAAGTTACATGGGTGCCACCTTTAGATTATAACCCCCAAAGATACAAGTTTTTCCGTATGCAATGTTTACCGCTGTATTCTTGCAGATTCTAACAGTATAAGAGTGTCTTATAAAAAAGTTTAATTCAACAATGTTCCGTTTGTCACCTTTGTAAACTTGTCCCGAACAATACGAGACCTATAGTAAAGTTCTAACTACTATACACAGTTTATCATAATTAAAAGATGACAATTGCACCCTGCGGGTTGAAAACCTTTTTAACCCTATTAAACGTTTTTTTGAACATACAAAGGCAGTTTTCTGCCTTACCATTGTAAAGATTCTGGAAGCCTACTTTTTAAACAAGTCTTGGAAAACCCACCCACGTAAAGTGGCCATGTTTCCACAGTCGAGGTAATTGCTGGTGGATTGTATTTTACTTCTAAAATTAGACTGACCGTTTTAGACTAAAAGAAGGCAAGCAAGCCACAAAAAGTACCAAACCGGGACTGCTATGAAGAAAGTAGAAAGAATCTAGTATCTTGTTTAATTACCATAGTAATGAAATAACATTGCTTAAAGACATTGCTAGGGTTACTAATGTAGTGGCAAATATACAGTCAAGGGACGAAGTTTGTCCTACTTATATGGCACGAACATTTATCTCTAGGTCGGTTGTTTAGGATGTTTACAGGAAACTAATTTCACACCGTTTTTTGTTATACAAAAATTTGATAGATTTATCAGAAAGTCTGATTTATAGTCAAATTAACAGGTTCTCAACTAGAGTATTGGCCGGTGGAGAACTGGTTGGGAGAGTTTCCTAACACCTAAAGGCAGTGTTCACCTTTCAGTAAATAGATACTCCGAGTAGTGTTATCCAGGGTAGGGTAAATTTATCCGGGACAATGGCGGCCATCTCTTTCCCGCCTTAGGGAAAGATGGCATTGACCAACTTTCATACAAGTCTTCAAGAAGAGAAGTCTGGTAATTATAGTACGAGGCAGATAATTTTGTCGTATAACTACAACCAGCGCCCCAAATTACAGGTAGTAAAACATGATAGATTTACTAAATGTTGCATACAATTTATTAGTCTAAGCAAGTCTAGTATTTTAGTTAACATTGGAATATTTAAAAACAGGAGTAAACCGCGCCATTTTAAGCCCTGTAGCCGTAGCCGCTGTTAACGAAGACAGTGTCGGTGACAGTCCGGTAGTTTGTGATTGTAGTCCTCTGGGTGCTGATGTTTGTACGCACCAAAGTCGCCGTATAGGATATCCTGAAATGAAAGTAATCTTAAGTTATAAAGTTAACCCACCTCCATACACACCAAATAGTCATTTTGAACACAAACTAATACGAATTACATACAGTAGAAACCTTTCTAAAAGACCGAAATATTTATTTAAAGTTGAGAAAAGCTAGGTTTTAAACCAGTATTAAACCCAGCTTACTTCAGTTTCCAACTTACACTTGAGTGGCCGTGGTGGTGAAGGTGTACTGGCTGATGACGTAGGACGTGTGGGCGAGGGTCACGTGGGTTAGAGAAGTTTCAGTCACGATCCTGAAGTCAGACTTCACCTCCGTTAATGTTACGGTCCCGGGCCGGACAAACACCGATGTCTGGAGAGCGACGCGATCATCGACGGGCGTCTGCAGCACCTGTGACGAAACATTTAGTCAAGTTCATCTGCGTCAGGACAATGTTTATGATTTTGAATCAGTATTACTGTGTCACCTTACCGCTCGTGTTCCCACGGTGACAGTCTGCACGCTGAAGGAAGTCAGGGTCACGGCCACGCTGTTGAAGGCCTGGTCGGTGACAGTGACGCAGCGGTCGATGGTGATAACTTGGGTGACAGTTGGGGTCAAGAGTGCGTCCACTCTTCTAACTTCAGGGATGCCAACGTTTCTGAAGATATTACGACCTGGGCCACTGGTTACACGAGGCACGTTAACCTGGTTAAACCGTCCACTATCAAGAATTGTAGGTTGACCAATGCCCACACCTTGGCCAAACACACCCGCACCAGACGCCTGAGCACTGCCCACACCCTGGCCAAACACACCCGCACCAGACGCCTGAGCACTGCCCACACCCTGGCCAAACACACCCGCACCAGACGCCTGAGCACTGCCCACACCCTGGCCAAACACACCCGCACCAGACGCCTGAGCACTGCCCACACCCTGGCCAAACACACCCGCACCAGACGCCTGAGCACTGCCCACACCCTGGCCAAACACACCCGCACCAGACGCCTGAGCACTGCCCACACCCTGGCCAAACACACCCGCACCAGACGCCTGAGCACTGCCCACACCCTGGCCAAACACACCCGCACCAGACGCCTGAGCACTGCCCACACCCTGGCCAAACACACCCGCACCAGACGCCTGAGCACTGCCCACACCCTGGCCAAACACACCCGCACCAGACGCCTGAGCACTGCCCACACCCTGGCCAAACACACCCGCACCAGACGCCTGAGCACTGCCCACACCCTGACCAAACACACCCGCACCAGACGCCTGAGCACTGCCCACACCCTGGCCAAACACACCCGCACCAGACGCCTGAGCACTGCCCACACCCTGACCAAACACACCCGCCCCAAGAGTGCCAGATCCTACAGAGGAAGGAACGGAAGCGCCGTGACTTAAAGCAACACCCTGGGGAAAGTTGACCGTCCCGCTTGGTAAGGGTTGAGAACCAGCAGGGAAGTTATTGCCAGGAATGAAGTTGAAATGGCCGGTCTGTGCAGGGAACTGGTCGACAGGTATTATGGCAGGGGCGGGTGACTTCGCTGGCAGACCAGTCTCTGCAATCTGCAAATATTAACGAGATTTTAGAGAAGATTTACTACCACGCCATAGTGAAAAATGAAGTTAAGATTACCACAGTAAATTGAGTAATTTTAATTATTAAAATCTTTAGTGTCCCTTAAATGCAAGATTAGAAGAGACTTACTTGAACTGGTCTATATTGGCAAGACACATCTGCGACCAGACAAACCAATACTCCCAAAACTGCAGTAAACAACCCCATCTGTAATCAAGCCATGTGTACATTATTGTACAGTATAATTCACACACGTTTTATTATCACATATCTAAACGCATCAAACGGTTTAAATGTAATTGAAACTACCTTAAAACCGTAGACGAGTTGATGTTAACTCAGTGAAGGTCAGGAGGCAACTGACTACTCCAGTCGCCGCTGCCTACGTCAACACCTCCCTCACACCAGCGGCCTGGTCGCTATCCTCGATATGACGACACATTGCTACATACAAGGTCATGCTTACATGCCCGCAATGCTGTGCTGTAATGTTGACCTTAGACTACATGACATGTAATATTTATTTAACAAAATATTAAAAAATAACGAAATTCCGAGTGAATGAGGTTAATTGGCCACTAATTATCAATTGAACATTGACAGTTATGAAGGAACAGACTGTCAGATATCATGTACTTGACCCACTGGCGTGTATTATCACCATGACACAGGTTGTCACATCACCTTTCAACTAGGTAAGTTCAAGACAAAGTTTGAGAAGATTCAGAGGTATGCCACCAGATTAATCTCAGAACTGAGAAGTATGACCTACAAGGAAAGGCTATGGGAGCTAAACCTCACGTCCTTGGAAGACAGAAGAGAAAGGGGAGACATGACACCTACAAAATTCTTAGGGGAATTGATAGGGTGGACAAATACAATCTGTTTAGCATTATTGGTATACGAACAGGGAGACACAGGTCAAAACTTAGTACCCAAATGAACCACAGAGATATTAGAAAGATTTTTTTCAGTGTCAGAGTAGTTAACAAATGGAATGTCTTTGGCAGTGATGTGGTGGAGGCTGACTCCATACACAGTTTCAAATGTAGATTGATAGAGCCCAGTTGGCTCAAGAATCTGTACACCAGTTGATTGACAGTTGAGAAGCGGGACCAAACAGTCAAAGCTCAAGCCCCGCAAGCACAACTAGGTGAGTAGAAGTAGGTGAGTATAGACTGTCACGTATACTGACCTTGACACTGTATGAACGCTAATTATGAGAGGTGAAAGATTGACAGCCCATCATCTTACATCTGAACAAAAGACTGTCCTGATCGCAATGTATTTCACAAATATTGGCTTATTATCTTGAGGTTATCTTGAGATGATTTCGGGGCTTTTTAGTGTCCCCGCGGCCCGGTCCTCGACCAGGCCTCCACCCCCAGGAAGCAGCCCGTATTAACCTAAATGTTTGTTTTCTTAGACCCATCAACCTGACGACGTTCGAAGCTATGAGACTCAATATGTATTTCGTTCTCTTGTAATCTTTCATGTAAACACTTCTTAAATCAACTTAGACTCACAGTAGTCAAGCAGTTGGCCCACACTGTTCTTCTAAACAAAATTCTGCTATCTTCTTTGTCTGCCATCAGCCCTATTTCAAGAGAAGATTTTTCATCGGTACTACATACTTTACGTTTAATTAATACTGATAATCGGCTTATAATCTCTCCGTCTGTAAGTTGACGCATATTAGTAATGTTACATTTAAGATGCTGTACAACCTCAGTGCTAGTTCCAGATGCAGGGCAATCGCTTATACTACATCTACTAAGTCCCACATGAGCCACAAAGACGTTAGAAAGAATTTTTTTCAGTGTCAGAGTAGTTAACAAATGAAATGCGTTAGGTAGTGTTGTGGTGGAGGCTGACTCCATACACAGTTTCAAATGTAGATACGATAGAGCCCAGTAGGCTCAGAAATCTGTACACCAGTTGATTGACAGTTGAGAGCCGGGACCAATAAGCCAGAGCTCAACCCCCGCAAACACAATTAGGTGAGTACATCTAGTAAGTCTTAAGACTTTCTTGCTTCCCAAACACGTTTGTCTAAGGAAACGATTAGGAGAAAGTATTACAAAAAATAATTGAAAGGTCTAAGAGCGCATTACATTATTTAGATTTGTTACATATCCAAACCCAAATCCTGTGGGTTTTTTTTTCCTCTCATGGCTAGAAGGATGGAGCTTTGTTAGGTTAACCATATTGAAGTGGCAGATTTAGTGGCCAACATGACCATATCTATGAGCGAAAACTACAACCTAGTGGGCAGTTTCCAAGAGCAACGCCAATTCAACGTTCAATTAAAGGCGATTTAACATCGAACAAACACCAATCATGTGTATGTTGTGATCACTGGGAAAACATTCCATTTTCTGATTTTTTTTCCCCTATAACCACTGACTATACTGCCCGTTCTCCTAATGTCTCCCAACATCAAGAAAACGGTTAATTTAAGGTCCTCTGCTAACCTACCAGAGGACCCAAAGCAGAAAACGGGACATTACGTCACTTCCGCGAACAGCTTCTATTTTCTAGTGTGAAAATTTTTGGCCTTAAGTAACGCATACGAGCGAAAACCGACGTTCTTTGCAGGACACGTTGAACTATAACCACTGGGAAGATAAGCTACACGTCCTCAAACCAAGTCCATTCCATCCAGCAGTCAACCCCAAAGACGCATTCATCAAATAACATGTTCATTCATAATTTGACTTCTCATAAATTAAAGTTATATATTAGCATACTGTGCATATTTATGTTGGGTGTTTAGGGTCTGTTGACTTGTTTGTAGTACGTGAGTGAAGCATTTAGTGATTTGCTTCAAACGAAAGTAGTCAGCGAAGCACTTGATAATTGTTCGAACGTCATCAGTTGTGTAAACGGTTTTTCCCCTTTCATAAACTGGGTTTGGCGGCTGCATGGAATGGTCTTTCGCCTTTTGGAACTGAATTAATCTGCAACCAATAACCAGCTCTCATATCTAGAGACCTGAATCTCTAACCTTGCATTTTAGTGGGCATAAATGCAAAAATAGACATTGGTTCCACTTTGAATCAACGCTACGTTAATTTAATGTAAAATGAACGTTATGCTGCGTAGATTCTCAATTTGTTCCAACTTTGGGTACATCTGCCATAATGGGTCGTCCATATAGCGAGGTCCATAAGGTGACCAATATTACCAAGATTCTCGGTTCGCGTTTAGTTTTGATCGAATATTTTCTGCCATATTCATTCCAGTGTATTCCCGGGAACAGGAGAAAACCCCACCTCGAGATAATAAAATGTTGACTTCGCTCGCAACTATTACCTCAAGTTACAACTTTGAAAATTAGATGGTATGGGGGCCGAGAGGAAGTAGTTCCAAGTATTTGGAAGAGGCATTATGAGAACTAGTCTCTCAAGACGTCTGATGAAAACGCCAACGTTACTATTTTGTACGCTTAGTAGAGTATATACATAAAGGCTAGTATCCTAAAGACTTTTCTTCCGTCTTCAGATAATTTCCGATATACCCAATTTTTACCTAGGGCAGCGGGCCGCCAACCTCCGAAGCTCACGGATCACCAAATTCATTATTTTAGGTCCCCGGGACAAAACAAATTAGTCTATTCCAATTATGACATTCATAGCTTAGAAGAAATACATGGGGCATAAATCGTCTGGAGAACAATTAGTGGTCCGCGGACCACCAAATGGTGAACGTCAGACTAGGGAATAAGATTTCATCAACTATGAGGGAACCGCTTCGGAAGCTTCAGCGAACCTGCCGCCTTTAAGCAATTCCGAAGGGATGGCCACCGCCCTACCAGAGACCAACAGTGTAATAGGAAATCTGTGTCCTGTATTGCGAGGTTTAACCGAAACCTTCCTCATTTAACAGTAACACTTAAATCTTCCTACATGGCTTTACTTCTCGTGCAAGTAATTGAAGATCAACGTTTTCTTTAGCTTTATTAACAATCTATATAAATTTTATATTTAACATTAACAATATTTAGTAGACAAGTAGAGTTATCTGGATGACCGTAGTTTCCATCTGGCAGCATTTTGTCGTTACAACAGGAACCCTCTGGACCTGGAATAAGAAAACCATTAATTTGAGAAGCGTTACTACGTGCTTACATATAGGCAGCAAGGAACCAATACAAGATTTCATCGTATCGTTAAAAAATTTTACCACGAGACTGACAACCACGTGGGTTATGGTCTAGTATTTAGAGCATCTGGTAGTGACCAGACGACACCATTGTGCTCACTGGGTTGACCCCACCGTAGCAGTGTCAACCACTACCCGTGTGGAGGCGACCCTTAAATAGGGGGTCACCGTCCTGTATACTAGGGACGAAAATTACCTTAACTAGTTACCATGGATCAATTACTGCATGAACAACACTAGACTGGTATACTAACGCAGGTTATGAGAGATGCGCACCCTTCATGTACAATTCCGTGAGATAGTGGTACACCATTCTGCAAGAAATAATTATTAATGTAGATATTGGCACTTTCAAAACAAAATTTGAAGCCAATCTAAAATTTCAGAAAAAAAATTTAGTCAGGGTCGTGCTAATGACAGGCTTTTTTTTCGGGCTATTATAACTAGCGGTAGCTAGTGTCAAAGTCTTTACGCAACTTTATTGAGAAGTTTAACCTAAGTAACCATAATAGTATATTCAAAACATACCTTAAGAAAGCGCCAAGGATTATAAACAGTAGTATTAACAGGATGAAGTACCGTAGTTGCATGACAAAAGTACGTATTTCGCGTCTAGTTGCTGGCATCTGGTTGAATAAAAGTACTTATTAAACAAGCTATTTAAAGCTTCAGGGATAGTTATTTAGAACACTTACGCTTATTTAATGCCTCTAATAATAAAATTTTAGCTTTATTAATCAGGGTAACGTTTGTTGCAGGTACTGTTTTAGTTTCTTAAACCTCTATAGAAATTTATCTAGGCCAAGGTCATTATTGGGTTGCAAATGAGAACTTAAAATTTTACATCCAAATACCTATTTTAAAAGGATTAATTATTCAAGCACCAATAAGCTTTGGAATAGAATAAGGCCTTACACCTTAGGAAGGCAGAAGTATTTGCAATATAGCAAAGTTATTTGATAAGCATTTGATACCATATTTCTTAGCAACACCAATAGAATTAATATCCAAAATTAAGCAACAATTTAAAAAAAGCTGGGGCACTATGCAAATTTTGAAAAATAATTTTAACATAGTAATAAAGCTACACTAATCAAAAATTATCCAATTTTTTTCCGGAGGGAGATTATCAGCACCACTAACCAATGCACAATCTTAACTTAAACACCATTATTACAACATACAAGCATTTACAACTCCCCCTACCCAAAGTCAATAATAAATTTAGTAACTTAAACATTAACCTTTTTAAATTTGAAATGCAAAATTCACCGGACAACAGCAGAGGACAAACTGAGGGGCTCCCAGCAGCAGGCCACCTTAATGCCTCTCACACACACACCAGGACAATACCTCTGAGGCCAGATGCTACTTTAGCGCCATCTATTGTCTGGGGAATCATCTACAGTTCTAGTGATAGAATTAGAGGAAGGACGGGAAGATGGGGGTGGAGGGGGGGAAGAATGTGTATACATTTCATGGTCGATCTATTGAATGTTATAAATGCACAGGTCTTATTTTTCATTTGTTCATCTTTTAAACAATTATTTCAGTAATTTGTTTAGGCAATGGATTAAATGAACAAATATATATATATATATATATATATATATATATATATATATATATATATATATATATATATATATATATATATATATATATATATATATATATATATATATATATATATATATATATATATATATATATATATAATATATATATATTAACTTTCTTAAGTTTATTTTCACACTATATTTATGATGTGACGCCTAGAGAAACGTTTCGCAAGACACTCCATACATTTTCAAAGACAAGTTTTCCATGCTCTGCCAAGGCTTATATTCGCTTGGGGTGAGTTGATAAAGTTGAGTTGATAAAGTACATGATTGAGATGAATAAGTGAATGAATGGCATATGGTGTATTTAATAGGCGTGTTCTATGTTCTTGCTTCTACTGTTTCTGTGTTGGTTCGGGGTTTTGAAGTGGATAGAATTTAATTGTGATATTTTGCTGTAGATTGCTGGTTTTGACTTTTGGATGTGTAGGGCCTCGCTGATGTCGAGTTTCCTGTTGTTGTACCTGTCGATAATTTCTGTGTTGCTTGTTAAGATTTATCTGGTGATGGTCTGGTTGTGAGAGATTATATGCTCCTTGATGGAGCGTTGTTGTTTGTGCATTTTTTTTATTTGCAAACACATAAATACAACCATAACAGAAAAAAACATCATCAGCATTAACTTTAACAAGTCAAGAAAAACATGAACAGAACTCAAGAACAGTATAACAAACACACATGAACAAAAGTCGTAGAATACACATATTGGAAACAAACATAGGTAGACACCTAAACACAGTCAGAAAGGAAAAAGTACCAGGGCACTATATCCTAACACTAACAAGGCAAAAAAAATACACATGAACAAAACTGAGAATAACATAACTATTCTATTTCATATCAATTTAGTCACTGTGAGATATTAGACAGATTATCAACACTAGTAAATGTGATGTAAGCTTTGCATTACTGATGAAAGTCTCCTCTTTACAGAGGGGCTGAAGGCAGATAAAGAAAGTACCAGATTTTGATTATTTTAAATATGAACAGTGTGAGCTTACTGCTTGAACAGTGTGAGCTTACTGCTTGAACAGTGTGAGCTTACTGCTTGAACAGTGTGAGCTTACTGCTTGAACAGTGTGAGCTTACTGCTTGAACAGTGTGAGCTTACTGCTTGAACAGTGTGAGCTTACTGCTTGAACAGTGTGAGCTTACTGCTTGAACAGTGTGAGCTTACTGCTTGAACAGTGTGAGCTTACTGCTTGATCACAGAATCTACGATTTAAGGAATGTTTACATGATAGATTACAAGTTTTGTTATAAATTGATATACACAATATATACAAAGAAAGCTTAGTGCCAAGGCCCCAGCACAAACACAGGAACAGTGCAAAATGAAAATAACATAAAACACAAACAGATACACAAAGGAAAAAACTCAGAAGCACTAAGAAACTAGAATATAAACAAAACAATAACAAACACAGGAGCACCCAACACAGGGTGCCAGCATAGACCGGGAACGAGGTCAAGCACGCTTGACAGGTTTCTCCTGATACTTATACTTCTCCGGAAACTGTGAAGTGAACGAAATTCATATCGAATCATACATTCGAACGTTGTCAGGTTGACAGGTCTAAAAACAGTCAAACTTTTAGGTTACTAAGTCAAAATGAGACAAATACATTGAGATCCAGACAGCCTTTTGTTCAGATGATGGGCTGACAAAATCCTCCCTCTCCTAATAAGTTTTCAGACAGTGTCAAGTTGATGATACGTGACAGTCTATAGCAAGGCAATGATATGCGACTGTCACGCAAATGATTTCAGTTTTGTTCTAGTAACAATGGTTAATATTCAGCACATAATGGTCAATTAAACTCGTTCTCTCATAATTTAGGAATTTATTAGTATTATTGTTTAAATAAATAAAATATTACATGTCATATAGCCTGAGGTCAGCATTACAGCACAGCATTGCGGGCATGTAAGCATGACCTTGTATGTAGCAATGTGTCGTAATATGGAGGTTAGCGACCAGGCCGCTAGTGTGAGGGAGGTGTTGACGTAGGCAGCGGCGACTGGAGTAGTCAGTTGCCTCCTGACCTTCGCCGAGTTAACAACAACTTGTTTACGGTTTGAAGGTTTTTTTGAGTTTCGCATTTACATTGAATGCGATATTTTAATTTTATTTAATGGGAACGTGGGATAATTTAACATTCGTTTAAAACATGGGGTTGTACATGATTTTTTGGTTACTTCCAGATGAAGTTTATCTTTGGAGCCTTGGTTCTTCTGGTCGCCGATGTGTCCTGCCAGTATAGACACTTTCAAGTAAGTACTATCACTGATGTAACAACGTATATTTCTAAATGTCTGCTGCATAGACTACTGTAGCATACACACGCCTTTACACGTTAAATACTGAAATTGGGCTTGATGAGCTATAACTTGAAAAAGAAAGGTAATCGGAATTATTCTCATAACTTTGTTTGACAAATGCTTGTATATAAAACTTGTAAAGGCACTTGCCGATTCTGTTCTATAAGTTTTAGAATAAATGTAATATAGCTACGCGACGAATCTTCAAATCTACTATCGACCCCCAGAAACCTTCAAACTTTCGTACTGTGTTAAACGGTAACTCTTTTAAACAATAAAATATTTTAGGAATTTTTATTCATAGGTGTGGGTTAGGGGTTAGGTGTTTGGATTTTGTTGCAGTTATTTGTAGTACGTACATGAACCTTTTTATGGTTCCACCGAAATTGGTTCGTGAAACATTTCATGTCTGAAAAATTCAGTTGAATGTAATTTAACTCTTAACAGTTTGTAAAGTGCATGGAATATTTCCACTCAAAAGATGAGCCACCACACCCTAAATTTCAGTGGTTCAAAAGCTTGGGTCAAAAATACCCATAAGCTTTTACATAAACAAGAAAACCTAAATGCTAAAGTTGTACGTTCAGTTTAATAACATAATTTTAATGTTTAAAATTAAAGGCTTCCTTGGGCTAAAGGCTAAAATTAAAGACAACCACTACTTAACCGAACTTAACAGACTACTTATGAGTAAAGGGGGGGGGGGGGAAATCACTTAGCTATAAGTGATTTCTTAAATAAAAGTAACCGTGACTAATTACGTACGTTTACCTTTCCAGATCCCTGACGTAGATCGGGGCCAGAGCTCGGCTCTCCTGGACAACATAATACGTACCAACCAAGTGCCTACACAAGCGAGCAGTTTTGGCTCTAACAATATTCTTGTAACTCCTCAAACGCAAAGTGGGACGGTGACCTTACCCCAGGGAGTTCTTGGTCAACCCATCCCAGTTACTTTCCCTGGACGGTCTGACACTACGTTTCATAAAGGTAGTGATCAGGTGGCTGGAGGAGTCTTTGGCCAGGGTGTAGGCAGTGGTCAGGCTGCTGGAGCAGTCTTTGGCCAGGGCGTAGGCAGTGGTCAGCCGGCTGGAGCGGTCTTTGGCCAGGGTGTAGGAAGTGGTCAGGCGGCTGGAGTAGTATTCGGCCAGAACCAAGCTGCAGTACTCGGTAGTGGCCGGTTTAGCAAAGTTAGCGTTCCTCGCGTGACTATTGGCAGCCCTGAAGTTAGAAGAGTGGACGCACTCTTCACCCCAACTGTCACCCAAGTTATCACCATCGACCGCTGCGTCACTGTCACCGACCAGGCCTTCAACAGCGTGGCCGTGACCCTGACTTCCTTCAGCGTGCAGACTGTCACCGTGGGAACACGCGCAGTAAGTGGTATCAGACACTGTACTGAATGTATTTCATTAATACTAGTTCGCTCTAGTAAATAAACTCTTTCGTCACAGGTGTTGCAGACGCCCGTCGATGACCGCGTTGCTCTACAAACTTCTGTATTTGTCCGGCCCGGGACCGTAACACTAACGGAGGTGAAGTCTGACTTCAGGATCGTGACTGAAACTTCTCTAACCCACGTGACCCTCGCCCACACGTCCTACGTCATCAGCCAGTACACCTTCACCACCACGGCCACCCAAGTGTAAGTTGTGAACGTACAGGGAGTGGGGGGGGGGGGTCTTTTGTTGGCAAAGAATCCCGTTCTTAAACTTTGTAGTTTCCATGTTGCTAGTAAAAGGGTCGGAACTCTTCCCTCCTGCCCACCCTTCTAGGTTTAATCACTTAAACTACGGCAGCTAACGCAGTTTTTTTTATACAATAATCCTATTATTGCACGAATGTTGGGTCAAGGGTTCAGAGATGATTAATTTTTTCCTTGAAGACCTTGTGAAAGAATAGTTGTGCCATCACCATAAGGCGACTAGTATTCCCCCTTTCCCAAACTTCATTGAGCGCTATATTTGCATATTATTCCAAAGTTACTTTCAGCTTCTAAACAGAAATACTAAATATGTAGTTTAGATTTGTGTAATTTACTTTACCTTAAGAGAAAGTAACTTGCCATAACGTGTAAACAATGTCAATAGTAAAGATGCATTTGAAGCATGTGCTTATTAACACTTTAACAGATTGTTTTATTAGAATTCCATTATTAGAATAATTAAGAATTATTAGTCCTGTGCTGCAATTATGGAATTTAAAGTACCTTCTTTAATTTCAGGATATCCTATACGGCGACTTTGGTGCGTACAAACATCAGCACCCAGAGGACTACCATCACAAACTACCGGACTGTCACCGACACTGTCTTCGTTAACAGCGGCTACGGCTACAGGGCACGATAATCTCTTGTGCTTGCCTTTAAATATTAACATTACATAAATTCTATAACCTTGGCTTCAACAGTTTTATTACCAACCTTCGGAAACTGATTAAGACTTTACTTGATAACCCGAAAGTATACAAATAGCTTACTAAATGCAGCTGAAACTAGTTTCCTAAAATTAGACACTCGCAACTTGACCTGTAATTTTTGTAAATATTGGCACCCAGTAGTGAATAATTTAACTAGTGACTATGGACTTAGTTTCCAGGAAACTCTGGTTGTTTAAATGGTTGAGAAAATATAGGTTCTCTCATACAAAAAACCATAACGTTAAAGCAGTCACACACAGAGATCACACTAACTTGTTGCATCAAATCCACAAGGGCCGTGACGAGGATACGGCCCTTGTGGATTTGTTCATTAAAGCAATCGGTTATTCACTAGGTAAAAAAAAAAAAAAAAAAAAAAAAAAAATACTTTGTTCACAAGCACTAACAAGTTTTGGTCTCTGGAAGTACTTAAACACGGTAGTTTCAGCAGGCCATAACCTTCAGTGCTCGGTCACATTTCGCCTTCACATTGTTATGGTTAAGGTAACGCTTAACACAACTGTAGCAAGTTAATGCACTCTTAAATTATAACTAATTCGTACTTGATGTACACCAGCTTTTAAAATATTATCGGTGCCTAGTACTCGGTTACATTCTGCAAATGGTGCTGCTAGGTGAACATACCAACCACTCTTGGTTAATTTGACATGTCTTGCAACGGGACTTTTCCAGTAACACTTTCTTAATGGACCCGTGACAGTCACTTGTGAAAGATTAAACATGTTTGAACACGTAGTAGTAAGGCAAACATGAATTTTTATCTTGGCGCTGAAGTTTCTTGGCAATACGACTCTGTAAAACATATCGTATGTAACTTTGGCGGAGGGTTTCGGTTACAGCCAACATGGATAATTTGAGGAAAGGCCACTACTGAATTAACTAGGTTTCTATATTTGTTAATCTAGCCATTTTATTTGAGTTACTAATGTATTGAACAGTAATCACGTATTCTGACAATCTGATAGTTTTCAGTAATTCTGGCGCTTAGTCAAATATTGCAAAATGGAAAGTCTAGGTACTGCAATATTCGCTAACCATGGCAAGTAGCGGTGAGGGCATCGTGCACTAAACTCCACTGTTAGGTCTAAAGCGTATCGACCTCCTGAAGGGCTACCAAGACCGCTATAACTTGATGACCACGTATGTTTTATCCTGAATACTGTGTACATTGGAACGTGGAACACCTTGTATTCACCTTCAAGTATGTAGATTAGTTGAGAATACCTGTGTTCATTAGAGAACACGGTAATAATGGGGTACAGAAATGACCATAAAATACAAACTAACGCTATGAAAACTATAAATTAGAATAGCAAAGTATACAAAATTAAAGTTATTAAACGTGTAAAAATCCCAAAGAAATTGATAACCAAATTGAAAGTAATCTGATCCACTCGAAGCTAGAAAATTTCTCTCCAAAAGATCAAATCCGGACGCTTGGGGCTAGCATCATCAAAACTGGCGGATTAAATGCTCTACTGTAAAAGATGGACTTAAGCTGGTCCAGGTTAGCATAGTTCAAAAGGGAACAGCATACCGGGTGTCGCATTCAGACTCCAACGAGAATGTGTTGGCACTGGTCGCCACTACTAAATATTTTCAAACCAAACATTTCCAAACTTTTCATAGTAATATTCGCCATTATTCGCTGATCTTTGGAAAAATAATCATATTTATTGCTATCTGTAATTTGTTCGTGATAGCATAAAATAAGACAATCCTCCCAGAGCTTCTAAGGTTTCTCTAGCCTCAGTTATTTTCTTAAAGTTCTTCTCGCCAGCAACCACCAACACATTAGACAATTATAAAAAAAATGTAAGTAACAAAATAGATGAATATATCTGAATTTAATGAATATTTAGATGGATAGATTGATGGAAGAATAGATTCATAGATGTATTGAAAGATGAATATATAGATCGATAGGTGGACATGTTCATGGAAAGATGGACCTATAGATATATGTATTGATAGGTACATGGCAGCATAGATGAACAGATAGATGGACACAATAGATAAATGGATAGCTTGATGGATGGACAGATGAGACAGACTCGGAATACGCCGTGTCAACCCCCCCCCCCCCTCCCCACTAGTGAATCAATGTTCTAATGGTATTTACTTTTCTAAATTCCCTAAAAAAGGTGCTGCTTTGTTACCGGAGAGTTGCTGTCACAAACAAATGGCAGCAAAGCGGTCTAAATGCTGTCAAAGTTCCTATTACACGAACAGTCTGCTTAAAAACGTTTGTTCCAGAGTGAAAGTGTTCAAAGTGAGTTTGATGTTGTTTAAGATTCCTGTTACGCGGTCTGTTTGTTCAGTCATTCGGACACATGTTGGTGACGGTATCTTCCAGTAATCTACTGATGTCACTTTGTGCGACCTTATTTATTTTTTGTGGGAAGTATTATTTTTTGATTTGTATATGCCTCTAGACTACAGAAATTGGATATTATTCCCATCATATATATGGTTTGGCAGCTTAAGGAAAGACGTCTGCAAAGTACCCAAAGGTACTGATGATGTAAGAAACAGTATGTCAAAGCTCTAGATAAGGAGTCGGCAGCTTCGAGGAAGTCCGTCCTCCAAACAATGAAACAAAAGTGACTAAATGCACCCGCCAATCCCCTTGTTTATGAATGAAAACGGTTTACACACGACTCACAACTGATGACGTTCGAACACTTCCGGAACAAGTGCTTCGCTGACGAATTTTGTTCGAACCACAACGCTATAAATGCTTCACCCACGTATTACAAATACAAATAATCGCCAACAGAACCTAAACACTTAACCTAACCTATCCTATGCCTATATATACACAATATGCTAATATATTATAATGTTAATTTATATTTAAGAAAATTCCTGTTTTGAATGGAATGCATATTAAAATTTATGAATGCGTCTGTGGGGTCGACCGCTGGATGTAATGGACTTGAATCGAGGACAAGTGGCAAATAATCGTTAACAGAACCTAAACACCAAACTTAACCTAACCTACGCCAAACTATTTACATGTATAATAATGTAAATAAATATATGAGAACAAACCAATTTTTAATACACAGTATGTTAAAATTGATGAAAGCGTCTGGGGAGGACGACCGCTGCTTTCAACAGTCTAGTGTGAGGACAGATTGGCTGGTGATTGTTTATAGACAATAGATGACGCTATTAAAATAGTACTTGGCATCTGTTAGGAGGAACTTGTTGAGGGTGTGGGAGAGGCAACGAGGTGGACTGCTGCTAGTCAATCGTCAGTGTATTTCCTGCGCTTAGGAACTCGACTTCGTCCTCCTAGATCAAAGGTTGTGTTTTTATTGTTTTTTTTTTTTTTTTTTGGGGGGGGGCTTGTTTTGAGGGGAAGTTGAGATTTTGTAAGTTTTATTACGGGGGTTATGGTGAAAGTATTAAGAGTGTAGGTTTGAATAAACCTTCAAAGTGTTAGAATATGTAGGTTTTCGTATTTCGAAAAGTTGTTTGTTACCCAAAAAAATCTAATTCTTTTTAAATGCCATGTTATAGCTATGTAGCTCGCTCTATTTTCATTTTTCAGTGTGCTAATGTCAGTTATTACTTTTAGTCTTGCTAATGGAAAATTAAAAAAAAAATGGTCTAGTAATCGCACTTCCCAATTATAAAGTTGAAAAAAATCTGAATCTTTAATTTTTCAAATAACTATAAACTAAATTACCTCAATTATATTATCCTCTGGGATTCTGAATTCCCAAACGTGACTATTTTCTCCAGAATAAATGTTTGTTTCATTTTATTCTTGTATTTTGCCAAACAACGGTTATAGCTTGATACCCTGTTAAACTAGGTTTCTAAAATACTATTAACTATGTATAATGTGAGGTTAAAGGCCTACACATAACCATATTCGCTAGTGTACAAAGATCGATTTTGCTTGGTGCCACTGCATTGATTAGATTAAGTGGCTGGGAACTTTACCCCGTCCTATTCCAGATCCTAGCAAGATAATAAATGCTAGTTGAAACAGACGGGTATGACTTTCATCCCGTCTTCAGGCCTACTAAACGGAGGCTTGGCTTTAAAATGCCTAGTTTAGTCTTTTCATAACTACATCTATTTGTCTAAGAAACCTTACTATAGCCCAAATGCTTTTATCTTTACAGATGGCTCTACTTCCCCTACTGTACCTCTTGTGTGTGGTATCGCAGGTAACCGCTTAAATTATAAATGGCATTGTGTACATAATTGTATAATATGCATGAAACTTTTTTTAATACAATGTCTCTAATAGATCCAGGGTCAGGGGTTCGTCCCTTACGGCACCCACGCTCCCCTCCCAGTCGTCACTCCAACAACTTCTACAGTCACTGTTCAGGTTCGTAAATCCTGTTGTCACTGCTTTACCTTCCTCGGTGTGACCTGTGTCTTACTTTTTTTTTTCTCCCTGCAGACAACCCTGACCCACACTCTGCGGGAGACGACTACCTCTGACGTGTGGGTTACAGAGCAGACGGCGATCACCCTGACAGTCACCCAGACAACCACCCAATGGGACTTTGTTCCCCAGTATCCACAGACGGTGACCTCTGTGATAAGGGTCACCTCCACACCGGTAGTGGTTGAGACGGCTACGGTGGGGGTCAACCCAGTGAGCACAATGGTGTCCATCTACAGTCAGTTCGTCACCACCACAGATACTGTTAAATACTGGCAGACCATAACCCACGTCGCTGTCACTCACGAGGTAAGATGGTGCAAAATAATCGTATCTTGTGAGGGTAGTTGATCTACTGCCTGGGATCATTAGTCATTGATTTATCTTCTGATTGCAGATCCAGACGGTGCCTGTGGTAACTACTCAAGAATTGCTGCAGGAGATAGTAACTACGATCACCCAGATAGTAACGACTACGGTTACTTCTACCACTGCCAGATATTATGCATAATATTAACACAATTTAGTTTGTACCAAATAAAGGTTTGAAGAGAGCGTATGTTTATCAAATTCCCATAAAGAGTGTTAAGACTTGCCACAACTTTAAATAATTTTTGCTTGACTATGGCTGACAAAGCCACATTATAAAGCTTGAAGTGTACTACTTCTCTAATAAATTTTGTCTGTGAAAACTTAAGCCTAAAGTCTAGAGCCAACCTTTTAATCTTGGCAGTTAAAGTGTGAAGAGTTTTATTGTGGTTCTAGTTATATCCTGTGCCTCTTCTTGGTCTCCTCTGGTTCCTCGCCAGTCGGTGGGGAAAAACTTGTGCATTTATCAAAATTGCTATAAACAATAATATTTAAGTTTTGAAAGATGTTTAAGGACGCAGGACCAGGAATTACCCTGAACGACGTTACCGGTTTTTCTTTGGGTCTTAAACATTCGGCCAATAGCGCATATAGATCCGCAAAACTTGGTACACAAGCGAATACCTTCAAAAGGAAACTCTTGAAGCACTTGCTTTATAAACGCGGACACTATCAAAATAAAAGGCTACCACATCAGTGTTCGGTGGACCTATTTTAAACGGTGAAAGAGAACCAAATAAACATCTTAATTTCAAATACCTAGTTGTATATATGATAAGGTAACTTAAACGATTTAAATAAGTTAAATGGTAGATATTACCTAATGTAAACGGAATGACTATTAAAGACGGTATTAAGGACTCCTGGGGTCTCCCATTCGGGTTGAAATCTTCTCGGCTCCTGATAGTACTCGTCTACCAGATTTGGTAGAGGGTGTAGATGCCAGAACAAAAAAATTTATTGTTCAACAAACTATATAAAAATTGGCGAGGAATTCCGTAGATTTAGGGTTGCATTCCCGGTTTGGTGCAGACCGCTTATCACATGTCTCTGTATGACTAATCATCCTGTGTGATGGGGATTTTATAGCATCACCTAGTTAGCTTTTTTGACACACTGTACTCCACTTCATATAGTCTAGGGTAGCTGCACTAATGCAGATGTACCTCATAACTTAATAAAAAAAAAAAAAAAAAGTGCCTTTGGATAACTACTTAAATCCATGAACGGCAATGCAACTTATGCCCACTAGTTGGTTACTGCAACCCAAATGCCCCACTATCCATAGATAAGCGAATTCAACGCTGAAAGTGGAATTGTTGCCCAGTAGGCAATATTAGTCTTTTTGGCAGTCTACATAATTACAGGGAAAAAATCTAAATGAAAGTTTTGTCGCTATCGTACGTGTGGTTGTTACTTTATTTAGTGGTTTTAGTGCCCATTAACTTGTTGAATTTGCCAGTTCATTATGGATAACCTGGGTAAAACGGCAATCGTATACCCATACAAACACAAGGATGACAGTCTGGATATGTAACGTAAACCCAGTTGATATTATTCGACCCATACATCACAATGAGATAACAATGACTTGTGTACGTTCTGGACCATTATAAAGTTGAAGAATGGAGACCGGGAGAGAAACAACGTAAGGTGGAATGAAAGACAGGGATGAAGGAATTGAGATAAAAGAATAAGATGCAGGCAAGATTAAGATAAAAGGAAATAAAAAGCAAAATAGTAAGAAACAAAGTTGATAGAACAATAATACTCTGCGATCTTTAAGTAACTATGTTAATGTTACTCGCCCAGCTTGTCACACAAGTTTGAAAAACGTTTCCTTAAGCAAATGTGTGTGACACAAGAATATTTAATATGAAGCAGATGTGGTGTACGAGAGCGCCCTGATTCTTGGACTCACTGAACGTGTACAGAATCCGAGGAATAACATAACACATCTGTGTTATATTGTCTGTCATATCCGCAGAGAATAACATAGCTAATCTGTAAATGATGAGTTAAAATAAAGTGCCTGAAGATATAAAATACATATATATGATTAGTAATGATGACCAAACCATACCAAAAGATAGAGACGACGACGTTTTAATCCATCAGTCTTCATGATAACGGTCCAGGCTGGACCGAAACGTCGTCGTCTCTTGATCTTCTCGTGTGTGGTTTGGTCATCATAACTAATCTCTTATATTGTTTACAATCTCAGTCACGGGGGGATATTAGTCCGATTATCACTACTAATAACTTCGATGTGAGCTTGACAGTTCTGATGTAAAGTACCTTATCTTGACATAGGGGCTGAAGGTATATACATAAGCTAGTAGAAATTTATTGTCTGAGACATGATTATTGAGCCTTATGCTTGAGCATTATGAGCTGTCTGATATAACATTATGAGCCATCTGATATTACATTGTAAGCTGTCTGATTGAATGTCGTGAGCCTACGTTGACTAAGGAGTATTTACCTAATACAATACAAATGAACGATACTCATATTGAGTCATAGCTTGGAACGTTGTCATGTTGACGTTGCAAAATCAGTTAAACATTTAGGTTAATAAGTCAATATTTGACAAATACAATGAGATCGACAGCTTTCTGTTCAGATGATGGACTGTCAATCTCTTAGCTCTCCTAATGAGACTGTTTAAAGTGTAAAGGTGACTGTATGTTACAGTCAGCGTTAAGGAGATTATACGTGACAAACACAAGATATCACACAGTTTGTACCTAGATAACTGTCAATGTTCTCCACATCGACTAAGATAACTTAGTGATCTATTAGCCTCGTTCTCACTCTAAATTTGATCAATTTTATTATAATGTTATAAATATTTATAAAATATTACATTATATGTTGCGTGAGGTTCACATTTCTGTACAGAATTACGTGCATTTTTCATCTATTGCAATATAACATATTTCTCTCTTACTCAACGCAGGAAGCAGCCCGTAGCGGCTGTCTAACTCCCAGGTACCTAGGTGAACAGAGGCATCAATTCAAAGGATCTCTGCCCAAGGCGATGATGTGTGACAGTCTATAGCAAGGCAATGATATACGACTGTGTTAGACATATGATATCTGACAGTTTGTTCCCCTAATAGCAAAAGTCAATAGTCAGCACATAATGGCCAATTAGCCTCGTTCACTCGAAATTTGGTAATTGTTTAATAATTTTTTAAATAAATAAAATATTATGTTATGTATTATGATGTCAGCATTACAGCACAGCATTGCGGGCATGTAAGCATGACTTTGTATGTAGCAATGTGTCGTAATATCGAGGATAGCGACCAGGCCGCTGGTGTGAGGGAGGTGTTGACGTAGGCAGCGGGGACTGGAGTAGTCAGTTGCCTCCTGACCTTCACCGAGTTAACATCATCAACTTGTCTACAGTTTAAAGGTTTTTTCTAGTTTCTCTTTTATAACATTTAAATGACTGAATTTAGTTTTTTAAATGGGGATATGGAATAATGTAATTAAAGTACACATGTGTAAAATTAATTTTGCTTACAGATGGCGCTGCTTTCTACAATCTTGGGAGTGCTGGTGGTGCTTGTCGTCGGTGTGTCTTGCCAGTATGGACCAGTTCAAGTAAGTATTAAGTAATTAAATATTGGGATTTCTTATGTGTTCCCAGTGTATAATACATATCGATAAAAAATACTCCCGTACTACTTCGACACCAGCATAGTAACCTTTACTCCTAAGTCAGATTGACAGCCAGTCATCTAAACAAAACTAAATTGGTTAAATACTGATAAATTTACCTAAAAATATACAATGACGCATGCAGGAGAATTTTCTGCTTGACTTTAAGCAACAGAATTGTTAAATCAAACTTTCTTAAGAAAATGGTTGTGAAATTGCGCATTAAAGTTCCTATCCACGTTAGGTAGATTAATGATCTAAATATTTTAATCGGTAAACAGATTTTAACTAAACTAAAAAAAAAATAAAAAAAATTTAAGAGTAACACTACATGACCGAACCCGACTTACCTTGAATATACCGTAATTTGGAATTCTTCGCCTAACATTCTTTCCTTTAATTTTAACGAGCTTTAATTTTACTTAAATTAGGTTTTATTTTCGTAACTTAATTTTTACAGGTACCTGACATTGGACGCGTCGACAGACCTCTTCTCGGCAACATTATACCTATCGACAGGTTTCCTGCCCAAAACAGCGGATTTGGTTCTAGTAATCATCCTGTAGACCTTCAGACCACACAAGGCGGATCGGTGAACTTACCCCGGGTAGTTTTAAGTCAAGCCGCTCCATTTAGATTTTCCAGTCAGTCGGACATTAACTTCAACCAAGGCAGCGGTCAGGCGGCTGGAGCCGTCTTTGGACAGGGTGTAGGAAGCGGTCAGGCGACTGGAGCCGTCTTTGGACAGGGTGTAGGAAGCGGTCAGGCGACTGGAGCCGTCTTTGGACAGGGTGTAGGAAGCGGTCAGGCGGCTGGAGCAATCTTTGGACAGGGTGTAGGAAGCGGTCAGGCGGCTGGAGCAATCTTTGGACAGGGTGTAGGAAGCGGTCAGGCGGCTGGAGCAATCTTTGGACAGGGTGTAGGAAGCGGTCAGGCGGCTGGAGCAATCTTTGGACAGGGTGTAGGAAGCGGTCAGGCGGCTGGAGCAATCTTTGGACAGGGTGTAGGAAGCGGTCAGGCGGCTGGAGCAATCTTTGGACAGGGTGTAGGAAGCGGTCAGGTGGCTGGAACAATATTTGGACAGGGTGTACGAAGCGGTCAGGCGGCTGGAGCAGTCTTTGGCCAGAACCAAGCTACAGTACTCGGCAGTGGCCGGTTTAACCAGGTCAGTGTTCCTCGCGTGACTATTGGCATCCCTGAAGTTAGAAGCGTGGACGCACTCTTGACCCCAACTGTCACCCAAGTTATCACCATCGACCGCTGCGTCACTGTCACCGACCAGGCCTTCAACAGCGTGGCCGTGACCCTGACTTCCTTCAGCGTGCAGACTGTCACCGTGGGAACTAGAGCGGTAAGTAGACTGTTAAACTGTCCTTGTAGAAATATTACTATCATTACTGTAGCAGACGACTTACTCAAGTGTTGTCACAGGTGCTGCAGACTCCCGTCGATGACCGCGTCGCTCTCCAGACATCGGTGTTTGTCCGGCCCGGGACCGTAACATTAACGGAGGTGAAGTCTGACTTCAGGATCGTGACTGAAACTTCCCTAACCCACGTGACCCTCTCCCACACGTCCTACGTTATCAGCCAGTACACCTTCACCACCACGGCCACCCAAGTGTAAGTTTTAATTTGTACAAAAGGGGAGGTTGTTCTTGGTAATGACTTGGTTTATAAACATTTGCTAGTTCTAGTGTCCACAAATAGGTCAAGCTTCTCGACTTTCCTCTCCAATCGCGGCAGCCTAATGATGGACGTTTAGAAGATAATTTAATTTAAAATTATTAATCAAAGGCTTAAGAATTTGTCTTGTAGACCTTGTGAACGAAAAATATTTACGCCACAACAACATACGAAGACTAATCACACCCGTATCTTTTCCCCACATGTCAAACCTTTGAGGTCTACATATCCGTTAGTTAAGTTCTTAAATTGACTTCAGTAATGTACTCTTCCTCTAGATTAGTTAAATTAAAAGGCATTTCAGTAACATCTAAACTGCCTTTAAATAAAGCTGTATCTAAGCGGATGCTTTAATACTTGACCACATGATTGTATAGCAAGCCTAATGCTGGGGCCTTTACATTTCAGACAAACATATACGGCGACTTTGGTGCGTACAAACATCAGCACCCAGAGAACTACAGTCACAAACTACCGGACTGTCACCGACACTGTCTTCGTTAACAGCGGCTACGGCTACAGACCACAGTAGTCCCTTGTACATGACTTTTATATTTACATTACATACATAATTCCGCAACCTTGGTCTCACTTATTTTATTACCACCCTTCGGTAACTGGTACGAGTTTTTACTTAACACGAAAGTGTTAAATGTTTTACTAAATGCAGCTGGAACTAGTTTGCATAAACTTGCCAGCTCTATGAATCTGTTAATAAATTTCACTAGTGACCACAGAATTGAATACGCGATAACTTGTCTAGTTTAAATTAATTGCTGAAAATTTTTATTACTTTAAAAAACGCAACTTAGTGTTAACGCTGAAAGTTAATCGCTAGTGCAATAATATTAGAATGCATAAAGAAATGTTTTGATTATTCGAAATATTTGCTTCCTACTGAAAGTACCGTGTAAGTGTTAATATACTCGGTCACACTTCGTATTGGTCAGTGTGGTTAATGCCACACTCGATACAGCCGTGGCAAGTTAATGTCTATCATCATAACAAATTCTTACTTAATGTACGATGGTTTTAAATAGTGTGAAAGCAAGTTAGTGCTTCCAGGGAGTCGGTCGGCCGAGCGGACAGCACGCTGGACTTCTGATCCTGTGGTCCTGGGTTCGATCCCAGGCGCCGGCGAGAAACTATGGGCAGAGTTTCATTCACCCTATGCCACTGTTACCTAGCACTAAAATAGGTACCTGGGTGTTAGTCAGCCGTCACGGGCTGCTTCCTGGGGGTGGAGGCCTGGTCGAGGACCGGGCCGCGGGGACACTAAAGCCCCGAAATCGTCTAAAGATAACCTAGTATTCGGTAACATTCTGCAAACGGTACTGTAATACAAAAATGGCAACCAATAGTTAATTTGTCACGGATATCTTACCGTGACAATACTCCTGATAGTCACGCTTAAGATTAAGTGTCCATGTTTGAACATGTAATAGTAAGGCACACAAGTTTCGTAAGTTATAATAATTTAAAACTGGTTACCGCTCTATAAGGTAAAGAATGAGATTCCTGGAAAGTCTGAATTACTCGCCAGGGTCACTGGGCTTCAGAACTTCAGAGCCTTCCTGGGCGATATAGTTTTCTAAAACCTTTGGTATGAAAGTTTGGCAGACGACTTGGTTAACGCGCAACCCAGTTAATTTGAGCAAAGGCCACCGCAAAATTATACTTTATATTGAAGTTTAGGCCTTTTATTTGCATTACTAATAAGACTTCGTAAGTCGTATTGATAATCTGGTACTGTCTAAATATAATAAGTTGTCGGCTAGTAATTCCGGCAGTCATAAAAGTGTAATGGAAAATTTCCAGGTATTTAAGTCAGTCGGGTATTGCAACTTTACGCTAATGATGAGAAGAGGTCAAGACATCGTGTACTGAGAACGCCTTTACAGTTGGGTCTAAAACCTATTGACTTAAGGGCCACTAAGGCAACAATAGCTGAACCAAATATACTTTGTCCTGAAGTGTATAATGGAACAATGCATACAATTCTTAGTATATATATATGAAGCTGAACACCTGTATCCATTCGAAAATACGTTAATAATGGAGCAGAGAACTGACCATAAAACTGCGATATATCTCCATGACAAACTTAGTCAGTATGAAGAAAATTGAGTTTACTAAATGTTTTTTTTTAATCTGATTGCAACAAATCAGATCTACTGGAAGCTGGTTAATCAGTCTCTTTACAAATGTTCGAAGCCAGACGCCTGGGGCTAGCCTCAACAAAATTGGCTGCCTGAATGCTCTAGTGTAAGAGATGAACTCGAGCTGGTCGGGGTCACGAGAATTAATAAAAACGGCATGCCAGGGTCATATTCTGACCCCAACGATGTTCTATCACTGGCCGCCAGTTTCACAACTGCTTTCAAATCAAACGCTTCAAAACCACAGTTTCTTATAGTAATATTCACCACTTCACTTATCTCTGGAAAATTGTCACATTAACTGTCCATAATTTGTCAATAGTAGCATAAGACAATCCTCCCAGAGACTCTTAAGGTTTCTCTAGCCTCACGGTAATTCTTTTCTTTCACAACGCTAAGCTGGTCTCACCAGAGACCACCCACATTTAACAATTATATTTGTTATAAGAGACAAACTAACAGCCAGACAGATTGATAAATGAGTATCTAGATGGATGGACAGACTGATGGATACATATAGAAGTATTAAAAAGATTGATATATAATCAATATGTATGGATAGATGTACGGACAGATAAATGAACAGATTCATGGACATATGTATTGATGGGTAGATGGTTAAATAGATGGACAGATATATAGATGGATAGTTTGATGGATGGGTAGATAAATAGAAGGATAGATGGGAGCCAGACTTGGAATACGGCGGGGTAACCCTTCCATTACTGGATCAATAAAATAAAGGTATTTAGTTTTCTAAATTCCTTAAGAAAGGTGTTGCTTTCTGTTACTGGAGAGTTGGTGTCACAAACAAATGGCAGCAAAGCGGCCTAAATCCTGTCAAAGTTCCTATTGCACGAACCGTCTGCTTAAAAACGTCTGTTTCAGAGTCAAAATCCTGTTGCACCTGCCATGTGTTCAAAGTGAGTTTGATGTTAGATTCCTGTTACGTGGTCTGTTCGGTCATAGTGACACATGTTGGCGACGGTATCTTACAATAATGTACTGATGTCACTTTGTGCAACCTTATATATTTTTTTCTGGGAAGTATTATTTTCTGACTGTATATGCCTCCAGACTAAAGAAAATGGATATTATTCCCATCAAACTTTTCTTTGACAGCTTGGGGAAGACGTCTGGAAAGTACCTGAAGGCTGCTGACGTAGGAAACAACATGTCAAAGCTCTAGATACTGAGTCGGCAGCTTCCCTAAGCTGTCTGAGACAAAGCTCAAAGCAAGACTTGGGGTGAATAATAGCCATTTTCTAAACTTTGGAAGCATAAGCAAGGAACACAAATTGAGTTAGATTATGTAATATTAAATGTTTCTGCTATATGCTTAGGTTTCTTACCATATAATGTGATGTAACATGATATAAATATATGCACGTTAAAGAATTCAGTTTTTTTGGTCAATATTCTACTTACGGTATTAATTTACGCTGTATGATAGCTGTAATCCTTAGTCTAAATAAATGACTGAAATCTCGTTTTGAAAAATAAATATTTTAAATGTAAAATAGCTGTGTATGTACTGTGTATTTATGATAATCAACACATCAACCATGGAACGGCCGCTCCGCTTCCAGCCCTGTCTTCTCAACCCGTCTCTCTCTTCACCACCACAACTGCTGGAGACTGTTTCTAGACAATAGATGGCGCTATTAAAGTAGTACTTGGCATCTGTTAGAAGGCACGCATTGAGGGTGGGGGAGAGGCAACGAGGTGGCCTGCTGCTGTTAACTCGTCAGTCTCTCTACTGTGCTTAGTAACTCGACTTCATTCTCCTAACTTAAAGGTGATTTAGTGTGTTTTGTAAGGAAGGTTTGATATTGTCCACAGCAATAATCGGGTTATGGTAATAACTTACTTAGTGTAGGTTTTGTTTTTTTTTTTTAGCAAGCGATTTGCATGAGATCTTCAAGTTATTGAACGCATGGCGATCTGTGAAAGTCAAATAGTTAAGGGAATCGGTTGACTTTAACACCGGTAGCAAGATCTGATACTTTCTTTGAAGTTTTTATTTTTTTTTTACTAAATGCTGATTTACTCTTATTTATTGCTTTACGCAACTTGCATGACTTTTTTTCTTTTTCCAAATGGATATACTACTAAACAAATGTTGCCAAATTTCTTTACATTTATTTATATAACTTAGAACAGCTTTTTTTTTCCCCATAATATTGCTAGCACAATCGTAGGAATTAAAAAAAACT